GGACTTAAGATGCCGAATTATTGGATTTTGGAATGAGAAGTTTTCATGAGAAGGAGAATGCGATTGAATAATTTTCTTACTTATCAAAGAATTCTTATAAACATCAACCAATGTTGTACATTTTTTGTCATATACCACAAATTCATCGAATTTTTCCACTAAAATTCCTTACATTTTCTTTTTCGAGTCACAATTCATTGTGCTAACACGTTAACGAATGCTTTTGAACTTCAACTTGATTTCGTGGCCGCCTTTGATTTGAGTTGCCAGCATTAGGAGCTCACCATTTTGCTACCTCCGTCTGTTTCCGCCGTGCCACAACAATTTGGGCTAACGATGTCCGTGAGCAATGAAAGAAAAATATTTCCCAGGCACATACGTACACCAGCAGCCAGCACGTGTCTGCAGCGTACCATGATGTTGGTTTGTATTTGTGTTTCGGTTTTGGGTTTATATTTCACTCATATGTCGCTGCAGGCTTTGCATTCTTGATTCCCATATTTCTCTGGATGATTTATACATTTATGTTGAATTTTCTCCATTGGTTTTCCTTGTTTTTCAGGCAATCCTTTTTGGGTTTCTGTATTAAAACGTGTAACCGCAGGAAAGTTGTCGGGGTTTGGAGTTGTAGTAAAATCGGTTTGACATTATCATTGCAATTGCAGGCCGAAGTTCTACGACTACTTTCCTCTGAGCGACTTCTGTCAATTACCATTGGATGGCAGCTGTCTCCTTCTCGAGGAGTTCCTCGTCCTCCCATTTCGATTCCTTGTTTTTTTCTCCTGTATTCCCCCTGCACTGGAAAAACATCAAGCACTCTTTTTTTTTTTGAGGGTTGCCTGTCTAACTGTCTCTGTTGATTGTATGTTATTTTAGCTGCTCCTCGTGTTGTTTTTGCTGTTGTTGTTGCGGGCGCTGTCTGTCTTGTTATTGGATTTAACGAAGTGCACTGCATAACGCGCATACGACATGTGCGCCCATTCTCAGGCCATGTTTTCGTAAAGTCATGCAATTCATCTTTAAAAAGGGTGTGCCCGATGTTACTTTAATGTGCTGTCATTTCGCTGTTGCGACCTAAGGCTAGAAAAAATGGAATATGATGAGGGGAAAGAAGGCAGCTTATCTGAAAATTTAACAAGGCCGATAAACTACACTTTTCTTGTATATAAACATCTTCAATAATGCTTTCAAGATAACCTATAACCGGGAATTTTCACCTCTTTATATCTGTAGTTTTCTCTCAAAAACCACACATCACGCATACGCCCAGTTATCCAGTTTTGCGGCGTTCTCCATCTGCTCCTCACAGCTTGATGCATTCCCGTGCGGTTTTCTTTCTGCGAATGCGACACAAAGTTGCTGTTACCTGCTGACTGGTTGATGGTGGCTGTTGGCTGTTGGCTATACGGATACGTACATCCAACTGTGCCGCACCACTGGAATGTCTGCTCTTCAGCCACCGCTCGTCATCAGAGAGGGGAATAGGGTTGAGGAAACATTGTCACGTGGTTTTTGTATTTAGTTGTGTTCTCCAGAATGGGAAGCCTGATGCTGCTGCTGCTGCTGCTTCTGCTGATGCTCTCAACCTGTCGCCGCCGCAGCTCCTGCAGCTTTTTCTTTGCGGTTACTGCAACCACTCCTATGACTTCCCATTCACATTCAAACTCACACCAGTGCAATAAATTCGCCAGCCCGAGTTACGTTTTGTGTGTGCCATTGTCGAGGAGCTTTTCATTGTGCCACAAAAACACACACAGATACAACTTTGTTTTTGTTTGTGTGGGTGTAGTGGGTGTAGCGGGTGCAAAGGATGTAGTGGGTGTAGCGGGTGCAAAGGATGTAGTGGGTGTAGTTATCCTGATGCCAGTGTCGTAGTTGTGCTGGCATTGTTTTGTTGTTTGCCACTGCGACTACTTCGTTTCCATTGTTGTGCAGGGAAATTGAAATAAATGTATGTGTAAATGCGTCAAAATTAAGTTTATTTCTTTTTCGCTGTTGCTTTTTAAATGTCTTTGCCAGTGACAAGTGTCAATTAGAAAAAAAAAAGTTCAATTACATTAAGCCGAGGCGGGAGGAAACAACAGGCCCTGGCATTGTTATAGGCATCGCCATGAAGGATAACCAGAGAGTCATTGTCAGTGTCGTTGTTTGTGCCTTTGTGCCGGGGACAAAGCAACATAGCACAGATGTACGACTATGCGAATGAAATTAGGACAGCTTGGTCGTAGTTTTGAGTACATGAAGGAGAAGGCTACATGGCTGTGCTTAATTATCCATGGATATGTTAGCATCTGTAAGATAATTAAACAGTAAACTCCACAATAAGTCCTCTATGGTTTGTGTTTTTGTTGTTAACAAAAAGTAACATATACTAAAATGTTAAAAAGAAAGAACAGTCGTTAAGATATCTCCTCAAACAAATCCGTAAAACGTCATCTAATAAGCTTAATGGCTATTCTTAGTCCTTTCACCAGCACTTTGGACCTTGGAAATTTTAAATTACACTCACAACAGCAATTGACAAGGCCAATTAACTTGGCCTTTTCGTATCTATTTCTAAATCCTTAGCAGCGCACGGCTAATTGTCTACATCTGAGCCCCCTTGAAAACCTTATCAAATGTGGTTTAAACTCTGTCAGCTTTCTGTGACGACGCATGTCATTTCATGACCAATCTGCTAATGAAATAAAATATTAATTAAGAAACTGCAGACGGCCGACAGAGTGATGGAGATAGAAATAGATATAGATATGGTGATGTATACAGATAGTGGGCATGGCCAGGACATCGTTTCATCAGTGGACATTTTCGGCTGTCGTTTGGGTAATTGTAATGTTTGGCATCCAATTAAGCAAATGATGAATGAATCATTCACCGTTGCAGAGATGCTATGCTATGTTGTTGTGTTGTCTGGAGTCCAGACAAGTTGACACTCGGCCAAGTTGGCCAAGTGCGTTAACATGGCGTATACGCAATAATTTAGTGTAGAGCAAACAACAAATTCCCTCTCGTAGCAACGACGTGTTTAGTCAGCAGACAGCGGACACTCGCCGGCGTTTATAATTTGATCATTATTTATATTTAAATAGGTCCTTCCCCCTTACGCACCCCGAAACACATCTGTTCGCTGTTTTTATTTATTTATTTTTTTTTTGTTTGGATTTTTCTGTTGTTTTTGCTGTCGTATCGCCTCGTTTGTTTTGTTGTTTTGCTGGCCTGGCTGGCTAACAACAAATTGAAGGGAAATGATTCCATTTCATGCTAGATTAAACATGTGTCCACATAATTTATCGATTATTTATCATGTGGTCCGCTACGGGTGTGTGCTCTGTGTGGACAAAGTGAAGTGAAGCCAGAGGCCCCAGGCCACCGACATTGCTGGCTCTCTACGTTTGTGGTTGGTTCTAGAGCGAAAAGGCGGGGAAAATTGAAGGGATAGTGGGTGATATTCCCCCATTGCGTAGGCCTTTTGCGGCCACATTGCGCACACAAGTGCAAAATTAGAAACAAAAGCTCTGCCAAAGGCGTTTACCGTTTACCCTCTGTCGCAGCAAGTGAAGTTCGATGTCGTTTGCCATCCAAGGCACTTGTCGCTCCAATCCCGTCCGAGAATATCCTTCGGCTATCCATGGGTATACTGGCAACAGAAGTCAGAGGATCCGGCCTGTCACATATCTCAAATATATGCCGGAAAATGGGTCACTGAATCCGTTAGCATAGCTTCTACTTTGATTGATGACTGTAGCTTAAGAAAATTTAGCTTAGCTTGGCTTTCCGGAATTTGTGATCTAAAAAATCGAAGTAAATAAATACTATTTGTTCTTATAAATATATATTTTGTACCTCATATAGATATACCTTTAGACTTCTTTAATGCATTCCAATTATGGTTTATGCAACCAAACTTACTAAATCATTTCATTAATATTTTTAAACAGGCTTTAAGCCAGAACCAACCAGGGTAATTGAATCTTCGATCAGCTGGATTTGATTTTTTTATTCTCCCTTTGTATTAGTTTTTTTCCCCAGGCTCTTTTTACAAGCCAGACGCATTTGCCAATGCATTTTTACCGCATAAACACAGACACACGCAAACACACTGTTACACGAGGCGGGGAACCACTGGGCAGCACAACACGAAAATGGCGGCCATTTTGTAATCCGCATGTGGCTGGGTAATCACCCCTAAGCTCCGCTTTGCCACTATCCCCCGGCCATCATCCTCGCCATCATCCCTTCGAGCCCCTCTGGCCACCATGGCCCTTGGCCCTTCAGCCTCTCTCCTCACACGTGCGACGGCTTTTGCCGGGCTTTGCTGAAAGGCCTTTTTTTTTTTTTTTGATTTTCCCTGTTTTGTTTTGCAGCATTATGTGGTCGCTTGTCGCTGCATTTTCCCCTCTATATCTGGTTTTCCATCGCACAAAACTCCATCTCTCTCTATCACTAGGAATGCTGTGATTTCGTTTGGCGATTTTTAGCTATTTTTGGTTTTCATTTTTCGGAGGCCTCAAAAACAGCCGCAGATCGATCGATATTTTAAAGCTTAGCCAAATGGTGTGAATGCAGGCTACACTGGTCAGCTTTTGGCTAATTAGAACGTGAGCAAAGTAAAGGAAAACCCTATTTGTTAGCCAAAAACTAGCCACATTTATCAAAAAGGAGAGAAAGAGTTTCGTTGAATGGCTGCCAGAAAATATGAAATATTTTCCTAGATTTTCCTGGCACAAACAACTTTATCAAAATTTTAAGAACTTCATAATGCTACTCTACTCCTTCTGCGTGTGAGTTCGTGTGTGTGTGTGTATGTATGATGTAATGCAATTGTTGAACACTTTTTGACAAATTGTTGCGGCAGCCACATGAAAATCAATTTGCCAGCTAAATTGACTTCCATTCTCCGCCAAGAGCATAGAACTTAGGAATAAAACTTGCCAACTTGCAACGACTCCTTACTCATAGCATTTCTCCTTATTCTTCTTCTTCAATATCCTTCCTTTCAGATGGCGAAATCCTGCGCGTTCTGGTGAACAGCTCGGCCCAAATTAAATGTGATGTGGGCTCCAGCCAGGCCGATGACAAAGTACTGCTGGTCGTTTGGTACAAGAATAATTTACCCATTTACAGGTAGGTCAATCTGGGGGCACTATAAGCGTGTGTATATGGTATTCTGTATCCTGTATCTCAATCTCTTTGACAGCTACGACACACGTGGCGCCCACGCTGGCACCCCATCACATTGGCGGGACGAGGAGGTTCTCGAGGATCGGGCCGTCTTTCGCACGCACAAGGAGCCTGCGGAATTGATTATAAATCCGGTTAAGGTAACCCATCTTTTCTTCCCCTTCCTCTTTTATACCACTTTTGGCACCCCAAACGCGAGTGCCAGTGTCAACAGCGCAGCGCTCTATAATTGGAATTTCATTTCAGGAAAAGGATGCGGGCAACTTTCGCTGTCGCGTGGACTTCAAGCTTTCGCAGACCCGCAACAGCAATGTCAATTTGGAGGTTGTCGGTGCGTATACCCAAAACCGAAATATGTCACAAATCCAATCTATTTCACATCCAATCTATTATCTTACATTTGAGTATCTACAAACTACTTTTTAATTAGCATGAAACTTAGTTTAAACGAAGATAAAAGGGGATTTTACTCTTTTGTTAGTAAAACTTGCTTAAGGCTTACCTACTTGTATTCCAAATGCCTTTAGAAATCAAATATTGAGTACAACAATCTATGATCTACGCACATTTTAATGTAATAAACAGCCAATTTTATTTTCAATACCAACTACAAGTACTATCTAACTCAAATAAGTAAAATAGTTTAAAAACACTTCTCAAAGCTAACAAAACGACGAAACTATTAAAGTTCTGATATTTCGATAGGAAACATTTATTTAATTGATAAACAAAGATGCCTAAACTTTGTAGCCCAAAGCCTAGACAAACGAATACAAAATCAGATCGCTTTCTCTGTTTGTCCAACTCAAATCTCAATTAAAAATATTTCCACTCCATCCCGTTTAAATAAAAAGAACCATTAATAAATATTTCTATATATATATATATATATATACATTCGTGCATATAAAATCAACATTCACATAAATAAATAAATATGGCCAGCCAGAAACGATTATAAAAGCAATTAATATTTGTTTCGTTCACACAAACACAGACACACATTTGTAGAAAAACGAAACGAGTTGCACATAAATTAGCTGAAATGATTTTTCGGTTAGCCACAAAACTTACAATTTATTATTCGAGGTATATAACGTATTCATATATATGAGTAAAATCATTGTATAAATCTGCCTTTTGCATTGCTTTTGACAATGCCAAATTGTTTCTGATTTGCGGCTGTTTAAAATCATTTCTGAGCAAGCTGAAGATTTATTAAATATTTCAATTTTTTCAGTGCCTCCCACGCAGCCGATTATCTTTAATGAACGTCGCCTGCGTATCGATTCGAGGGCAGGTCCTTATGAAGAAGGAGGCAGCCTGGAAGTCACCTGCGTTGTCTATGGAGGTAAGTCATAGAAATACTCAACAAAAACTGAAAGAAGTTCGGAAAAAAATGAAATATTAATTGCTGGCTTTATATCAATCAATAATTAAACTTTACAAGTGCCTGTAAAAACATAAAAGTAGCCGGCACACGAAGACAATCAAAAATTAAAATCGCGCCAGTTACTAGGGCGGGGTGAGAGTAACTAAGCTTTGTTGGCATGCAAACAAAGGCACGAGCATAAAGAACAAACAATAAATAAGACGGCCAAGTAATGTAAAGTTAAATTGTAAAGAAGGCCAGGCCCAAACACAGGCCAATTGAAAAGGGCCAAAAAGGGAGGCACAGGCAATGAGGAGTCCAGGGAGCCAAGTTAATTTCGCAAATGTGTCGCCTTAACAAAAGGATTAAAAATGCCAAAGAGTAAGAAACAGTCAGCAGGGAAAATAAGATGGCAAAAAACCTTGAAAATTGTAGAAGGCCCACAGAAGTCAACAGGCTTTGTTATCGATGATTCCCAGGTTGATATGTTGACAATGGCTTTACAGGGAGAAAAAGACTTGGTATGACATTGAAAGCTTATAGTATATGCAGGTGTTATGTAGACAATTTCAGGGAACTTAAAGTAAACAATCTTCTAAAGTAATAATATCAATGTTAGGTTACTAGCTCTTCAATCTACAGAGATTTGGCTTAACTTAACCATGTATAAGCTTATAAAGATATTGTTTTTTTTAAATCCTACAAGGATATCAAGATTATCCTTAACATTTTCTCCTTGTGTAGCATCAGAAAAAAGGATCACAAAACCCTTAAGTCAATTGTTGTTAATGAGAACCAAAATAAAGATTGGTCGAGCGAATGAATTTCCCGAGATATACGATTCTGGAAACGGACTCTTGGCAATCCGAGCTACGGAATTCAAGAATCCAGAGCTGGGTTTTTCCATCCAAAGAGCCTTCACAGTGCCCGACATAAGTATGTCACCAGGCAGAGAGAATCGCGTGCTTTATCGGCGCTGCGATTTCTCCCCCTTTTGTTTTCTGGGTCTGGGCGGAAGCGAAACCACTTTGAATGGTTTGACATGTCAACGTTGACATAAAATAAATCACCAAGCACAAGCAAACTGCACTTGAAACTGCCCGGCAACTGTTAACTGGTCAGTAGTTTTCTGGGCGGGACTGTATGGAGGGGCTCTTTGGCCGCGAAAGGGGTGAATCCGCAGGGGGTTGGCCGTACAACAACAAGCGAACAAAAAAAAAAAAAAGAAACCAGGAAAATTGGGCACTCAAAATGTTGTATGTGCCAATTAAATGGGGGCAAGGAAAATGTTGCCAATGTACAAATGTGAATACATACGAGCTGGAGCCGGGTGATGGAAAGTTGGCGGGGGTGTGGATGGAGATTGGTATGTTAAAAGGGGGTGAGTGGACAACCAAGTTGTTGACAAGCAAAAAGGAAGTCAGTTGATGTTGGCAAATGAGCGAGGAGGGGGTGGAGTAAAGCAATTGGAGTACTTGAAACTTGTACAAAACGAGTGGGTGAGAGTGAGTATGTGTGGTCAGGCTCGTTGACAGTTGGAACGAACAAATTGATCCGAGTTGTAAGGAAAATGTCTGCACTTAAATAAAATTGAATTCCCAAAATAGTAAATGAGTTTATTGTATTTTTAAACCAAATTAAGCCTTTCTATTTTTGGACTATCAAAGTTCATCTATTAGTGGAAAACTACATTTGTTTTCTTTCATGACTTTCATGTATGAAACCTGAATTTTTCTCATGGTGCACTTAAGACCTATTATCCTTTAACAGGACAGGACCTTCCCTTAACCGCTGAACATCCCAATTATGTTGCAACCACTTGGTGGTAATGGTGTGAAATTGAAAATGCATGCCCTCCTACTACTGAAATCTTAAACAGCTGACATTATGCTCACAGTCCGGCCACCATCTCCATTTCCATTCTTAGATGTTTCTTTTTTTTTGGGGGTTCTGGATCTGGTGTGGTCAGGTCTTTGGCATTCAACATGCGATGTCCATTACAGAAATTGCAATTCTGTGGCCAAAACAAAAAGCCAGCAGGGAGGAGTAGTAGCAGGCAGAAGTAGTAGCAGGAGAAGCATAAAGTGCTGAAAAAGTTGCCACTTAAACAAGTGCAATCAGCAGAAGTAAGTCAAAAGCGGCAGGCGATGAGGAAGGAGCGGCTCGGGATGGCAATGGTTGGTTGTTGTTTTGGATGGCTGGGGGCTGGGGGAAAAATGAGGAAAAGCCAGCCAGTTTGGGCTTAAGAGTGTGCGAAATCGACAAAGGAGCAGTAAATTTTATTGCAGCCTAGGAGGAGGGCCACAATTGCAAATGAGCGCGACACGCCAGCCCCGAAAAAGCGTTCGGGCACAAAAACCGGGGACCCAAATGAAGTTATAAACCAGCACAGTCTGTGTGGGTAGTAAAAATTACCAATCTTCCCCACCACCAGCTCTCCATTCCAAATCATAAAGAATATATACATTGGAACTCAGCGGAGGAGTAGAGTACAGCCATTGTGCGCTGGCATTGGAAGGCTAGAAGGGGGCGAAAAAAATGGGCGAATGCCATGGCTTTATGTGGCCACTAATGCATAATATTCAGCGTTGCCTTCTTTTGCACGTCATGAATTTTACACACGGTGGTTTCTGCTCCTCTGACTCCAATTCCCCGCCTCAGCTCTTATCACGGAACTCGCCGGAGTATATAGTATATTGCAAGAGCCAACTCGCAGGAGAAAACATCAACTAAACAGAAGGGTGACATATGAGTTTAGAACTTAGGATACCCTTTAATTTTTAAAAGATTAAATTTTACTTTACTACTAACCTTTGGACGTTTTTTTTGGAATATGAAAAAAGTTTTTAAAATAGTACAAAAATAAAATCAAAAAAAGGTGTTAACTTATGCTTATCGCTTGGTTTAAATCTTAAATTCTGTGTTATTTTTGTAAGCTTTCTAATCCTAAACTACACCAACTTTACTCTAAGTTCCCATATACCCCTTTAATATTCGCAGCTTAGGAAAAGTGTGCTAAAAATGGCTTTTACCCTTCTTTTTCTTCTCTTCTTTTTTTTTGCTCTGTGTGTCAAACGGAAGTGCAGGCGTTTTCCGTTTTGGCCAAAGTGAGCGTTGGCCATATTGTTATTGTGTTTGCTGTTGTTGTTCTAGGCAGGTTGCCGAGTACAAAATTGTGTGCATTTTTATAAAAAAAAAAAAATGCTCTCTTCACTTTTCTCGTGTTGTTATTATTATTATTACGACTACTAGCACTGTTGTTGTGGCACATTTTTGAGCACGGAAGTGCAACAATACGGGGCCATGCAACAACACAAGTTATTTACTAAAGCGAAAATAGGAGCAACAAAATGGGGGAAATACTTAAGAAGACGAAGGGCGAGGAAGAAAATAGTAGATTGTCTGCCACAAAAGTTTGCATAATTTCAACTTCATTTATTTTTCATTTATGGCGATTCTGAAAAGGCGCCATAATAGGTATGAAAAAAGAACCTTGAAAGTTTATGGAATTATTATTTGTTTCTCTTTGAAGGAATTCTTAAAAAAAATATCTTTAATTTGAAGTGTGAAAGCATTCAGCGGCTTGCTTACTTCATAAACAAAGTAGGAATGACAATTGAGAGTGGCCATGTCGGACCCTCGAAGCCGGCAAGCCTTAAATTTATTTTACAGCTTCCTCACTGGACAAAAGGTCAAACGCCAAAGAGCACACACACAAAGGAGTGAGGTTAAAGGGAGTTGAGGGGCAAGGAAAATGCGAACTGAATAAACAGAAAGTGTTCCAAAGCCAACAACATAAAAAATATTTATGTGCCATGGCAGAGTTTCTTTCTCTCACTGTTCATTTTTTTTTTTTTTTGTGTTTGTTTTGTTTGTTACTATCACAAGTTCTAAATTTTTGTAGCTTTTTTTTCTGCTTCTATTCCTTAAGAGCTTGGTTTTGGGTAATCCCTCCCCCGCTCTTGTGTTTTTTTTTGGTTTTGGCAGCAGTGTATCTATTTCAAGCGAGACAAATCCAAAGCCAAAACACATGCAAGAGATGCAAAGATATGCAAAACTAAACAAGCAAATATTTCAGCATTGCATAACTAAAGAGAATAGTCTAAGTTTTCATGTGCATATGCGAGGATGGGCCCCTCGTTCTCTTTTGTTTTCTTTACACGGCGAAGAAAACTAACAACCGTATCAGAAGTGCTACTACAAAATCATCAGTTTTTAGTTTCATTTATGTGCTATCAAAATTGGTCACTATGATTAAATTTAATAAAAAATCTAAATAGTCATAAGCATAAATCAAATTGGGCATAAAATAACAAACAGACTTATAATTCAGACTTTTCCGCTATTAAATCTTAATATTTGTTATAATATTTGGAATAACTATCATATATCAAAAATATTTAAAAAACTAAATCTTTAAAGTTAGAACTTTCTCTCTTTTTAACTTTTTTTTTTTGGTAGAATGTGGGTAAACAGAACAATGCTCGTATGGGGCAAGAAAGAAGGCCTCTTTGAGTCTTGGTAACGTGTGTGCAAAAGTGCATAAGTGAGTTGGACTTGGCTGGCGGCAGCGGCTTTAAGTCTCCGCCAAAAAGGAAACGCTAAAAACTAGCACGCATTTGAATGCTGCTGCTCATTAGGAAGTGGGTGTGGTCGGATGGGTGGTGGGTGTTGGGTGTTGGGCAGGTGGACAGGTGCATGGTAGGTGGACATGCCAAAGAAATGCTAATGTCGCTCTTGCCGCTGCCACTGCTATTCTGCTGCCTGGCACAAAAACCCGTTTTTTGATGCCTGCTCTAAAAATGGCAAAGCACTTGGCTAAAAAGCAAAAGGAAATAAGAGAGAGAAGGAGCCTGACTTTTTTTTGAGGAATCATGGAAGGTATACTCTTTAAAAGGGATAGATTAAGGAGTGAGTAATGTTCAAATTTACGACAACATGTTTAAAAACCTGTCCTTAATTTTAGGAATACCGTTAAAAAGATATTTTGCCACAAAATATTTTAAAATTTACAGATTTTTTTCTAAAAATAATTCTGTTCAGCATTCTTATATTAAACTAAGTTAATGATTTTTAAGATGATTTATTTAATTTTTTTAGTTTTCTTATAAGCAGTATGGATATGTTACAAAAATCCTTGCCTACTTTTCGGTGTTTCTGAGATGCCATCAGAAAGAGTATGAAAATGCAAGTTAAAAGAAAGCAAAGCACAGAGAAAGAGTAAAAAAAACTAGTGCAAACTTTGAGTGTGTTTGTATGGAGAGTAAATGCAAGTCAGCTGCTGCTGCTGCTGCTGCTGCTGCTGTGTGTGTGTGTTTGTATGGACTGTGGCACCTTATGTTGACATTAAAAAACAGCAGACATCACCCGATCCTTGAAAGCAAACTTGGTCTTGGCTTTAAAGTGAAAGCAAGAGTCCGTTGAGTCAGTTTTCGAAAAAGTTGAATTCTTAAAATAGAGCAACAATTGCAATAGGAAATCACACTTTTTACTAGCATTTCTCTGACTCTGCAATGCTTTTTTTAGTGATATTTTTCCTGTTGTATTTCTGCTAGAGAACAGGCCAATAAATCACTGGCAACCATTAAGCCGCCTTGCTACACATGCGCTAATCTACTCCAGCACAATCGCACACACACACACACATGTGGAGAGCCTTCTGTGAAATATTTTCATAAACAACATAAAACTCTACCAAATGGCAGTTATTAATCAAAGTAATGTGCGTTTACCTCTATGTATATCAGCATATATACGAGTATATGTATGAAAACCTCTATATATATATATATGGTTGTGCGACACATTTTTCAAACATATCAAGTGCAGTTTTCGGCCCATCCGTGGCTTAGTTTTAGTGAATTTCCAGGTGGATTTAATGGCACTTGTTCAGTCGCATTGCTTTTTATGGCTACTCATCAAGCATTTTGCGTAATAACTAAGTAATAATAGAAAAATATATATGCAAGGAAACATGTCAGAGAATTTATTTGTGTCAACGCCAAGGCACTGACAGAAATGATGAGAAAAGCTCTTGCGATTAAATAAAATTTAATTAAATGTCTTTGCTTTTCATACGCAAACAAGATGAGCGTGCTAATCCTTGTTAATCTTTTAAATTGCACTTTTGATTTATGACTATTTTTCTTAGTGTATTATTTGCCCGCCTTTGAGTGAGTGACCGACCACCCGTTGCTATTAAATTAATGTGCGCTCATATACGCACACAAAAGCTAATTTCAGCGCTTGATTAAGTTGAAGTCGTTAAAAGCGGCCAAGTGCCGCACGCTGCGTATGAGTAATGTGGTTGTGCCTCAGTGTGTTGGTTTAAGTGGCCCCCTTCCTTAGCAATTGCACAACTGCGGTGGCTAGTCAGCCACCAATACCACCAGCTAACTAAATTAGAGGTTCTAAGCATAGATTATAATGGGCACTTTAATCCAGGTGATGGATAATTTCGGCCATAACGAGGTCCTAATCAATCTTATCGATATTGAAGAGAATTCTTTTAGGGGGGCTAATCTTTGAAGACTATTTATACACCTAATTTAAAGCATCTTTAATCATAATTTAACCTATATGTATTACTTATATTTACAGGTTCTCCACCGCCGACTGTCATCTGGCTGATGAATGGCCAGCTGCAGAACAGCGTCGTCGATTACACATACGATGGCGCCATCAACAGCAAACTGGTGGTTCGCAACCTGTCAAGAATCCACCAGCATGCGGTCTACACCTGCCAGGCCAGCAATTTCCACAAGAAATATGTGGCCACCAACATAACCATTGAGCTCTACCGTGAGTATAAAAACTGATATTTATTAAGAAAAATAATATACAAAAAATATTCAGCATTCTTTTTTTTTAAGGAAAATACTTTTTCCTCTTGGATTTTCGAATTTAAATCTAAAGAGCCTTCAAAGGCAAAACTATAACGTTCATTCTCAATTTAGGCCTTCTGACTTCTCAATTTATAATAAACTGAAAAGAGTTCCGGCATTGAAACGATTTAAAACGACCCAAATATGGTGCTAAAAGAGTTTTGCCAAACAATTTATTTATTTATTGTATTTATTTCACTCTTTTCTGATCCTGATTGTGTGCGGCTCGGCTCTTCTTGCTTTTGTTGTTCGGTTTTAAGCATTGCGATAAAAGTTTTAACAAATAGCTGCGCAGATAAAAACGACCAAGGCCAACCCACTCAAAAAAACACAAAAAAAAAAAAAACAGATGTGGGAGGTAAACTGAGTAAGGAAAAACCCAGAGAGAGGCTGAGCAGGGAAAAAATAGATAATAAAATGGCTTATGCAAATATAACAAAATGCAAACGGCAACAGCGGCAACATTGCATGCGATATCCACGTTTCCCCAAAAAGTATACAGCGAATGGGGAAAACACAAAATTCCTGTGCGTAACTTATCCTACCTATAGATAGATATATATATATATATTCTATATATAACATGGCCTCTGACCTGGCACATATTGTACAACCAACATCGTATCGAACTCTATGTTTCTTTTTTTTTTTCGTTCAAATATAGAAGTTGCGTTCAGGTTAGTGGACTGTGCATGACCCGAATGGATTTATTATTTTGTGACAATTTTTTAAATGCCCTTTTTCTACACTCGCCACGAGCCGGGGCAGTGCAAATTGTTAAATTGAATTAAATTGTTGCCAATTTCGAGTGCTGCCCGACTGGGAGTGTGAGTGGTTAAGAGATTTGTGTATGGAAAAAAGCTGTTTGCAAAAAGAATTTATTCGTTGTGACAAAAATGTATTTGCAAATTCTGTCAGCTTTATTAGTGAGGAGATACAATGAAGAACTTTTTGAAAATGTACTTTTACATTTCCCATTAATTTAATTTAATTTTATTATGATATCCTTTAAAGATTTTAATGTACTACTTTTCCCAGAGAACCTCATTATGCATTATCTTTAAGGTCGTGATACCTCTCCTTGTTCTTCTTCTATATCGCCAAATAATATTTTGTTGGATGCTTGGTTATTAGGCCCATGGCATTGCGCTAACAGCCAAAGATTGGCCATAGAATTTTATGGCACTTTGGCGCGTCTGTCATGGCTCTCAAAACGCCAAAGCAATTGGACGTCAATTCCTACTTAGGCTCCGCAGTACAAAGTACCCGAAAAATAATGTCTCGAAAGGTTCCTGGGACAGCAGCTGGTGATGCGCATATTTGATATTATTGCTCTGAGTTGGAAGGAAAAGCATAAGAATATGTCGCACTTGCTAGGACATAAAAGTTAACACGCCAATAAGAAAAGAAAGCCAAGATGAGGCGATGGAATGTTGCTAACTTGGTCAATTAATGTTGGCCACAGTTTTCGCGCGCACTACGACCTTGAAACGAGGCGGGAAAGTGTGTTAGTCCTAACCAGGTTTTTTCACTTTTCTTTTACAGAAATTCTGTTGTTATTTTTCTCGTTTTTTTTTCTCACAATGCTTTGCGTGTAATGACAGAATAGAAGCATGGGAAACACAGGGCAGTTGAATAATAAGTACGACCTTAATTAGTTAATTTTATGGCCACTAACAATTAGATTACGCCCGTCACGACACTCGCTCGGTCCCTCACACAAAACAATTATGAGAGTTCCTCATTAGCACACAATTTAAGGCCCCAAAAGGGCTGGTCGATGCAATAATTAATTGAATTAAAATGTTCCCTTCTGCAGGCCTCATTTCGGTTGCAATTCGGAATCAGATTTCATCTTTCTCGCCTGATTAAAATCTCTTAAAAAAAAAAAGTTAAGAAACCAATACTGTAAAATTGTAAAAATGAGAAACTCAAATTCCATTTCTTTCCTTTGTTTTAATAAACGACCTCTGGAGATTTCGACTCTTGAAGCCTTTAACAATTTAATGGATCTGTTTGCATAATTTGGTTGCAATTTGAGTCCTTGGGGCCAGGACCTCTATGCTCGCTGGTGTAGTGCGTTTAATTAAACATTTAAATGATTTTCCAATGCAAATGTGCATAATTAATTTAATTACAATAAAGCGCTGCAGCACCAGCAGCAACAACAACCGCATTCAAACCTGTTCGCTGCCTATAAAAACAATACAAAAAGTGAAATAATATTGTAATGTATGCAGAAAGGTAGAAAGAAACAGAAAGGTTTAAAAACGGCATTGAAATAAATAAAATTGTAGATAGTTGCCATGCATCTGGCTCTCCTTTTTGGTTTTTCCCTTTTTTTTTTTATTATCGCATTTGGGCTTAACTGAAATGTCACGCCTTTAAATTAACGCATAAAATGCGCGGCCAACCGCAGCAAATGTAAAAACAAATGAAAAAATAAAACAACAGTTGGCTTAACTCGTTAAATTGCAAGAAATATTTCAATGAATTCTTAAAGGGATATTTAAAACGATTCCCTCTAATCGGTTTATACGTTAAATATTTCAATTTAAATTTAATAATTAATAATTAGTCTGCAGAAGGACAATAAGTATCTAATTCTTCAGCTTAAATCTATTCAAACAGTCTAGAGCCTTTCAAATATTATTCCAATAGAATAATTCGATAATTTGTTAACATTTTCCAATTCAAAATCAAAAAGCGTAATTTATATTATCCTGGAATGAATGCAGAAAAGGGGAGAAAGACACACAAAAATACATTTGCAATGCCCGCGTTAACGATGGGAAATTGTGTAATGCTGATAATGAACCTGGACTCCAAATGCTTTACGTGACCATATTTTTCGAGGTGGCGGCAAAAAAATATGTTTGTTATTGTTTATTTGTTTGGGCAATTTTCAATTTAGTGGGTAAACAAATTGCTGTCAGCATGAATATTAACAAATATTCAAATTACATAAATGTAATTGCATGAATATTTATTGGCTGAAATTTAATGCATTGTTTGTGATCCAGCAATCTGACAATGGTCTATGCCAATTATTTATTAAACAGCCAGAAATCGGGAAATTATGGTGTTCCTGTTATGATTTTTAAAGTTTTTAAAGAACTTAGAGCGAATTTCCCTGAACAAACTTCTCGTTGTTTTCCCTTTCGCAAAATAAATATTTAATTATATTGAAAATATAAACGAATATTGCTGATGCTTTGACTGAATTCATTTTGGTTCCTTTGCCATTTTCCAACTGACATTTATCATTCCGTATTATGGTGTGCCTTTATGGAAAACAGCAATATTTGCTGCCCTATGCTCGATATTGTTGCAGTTCCCTTAGTTGTTCTTGCTGCAATTCCTGTTCGCTGGTGGCAATCGTAATTTGTTGCAATTAATTTTAATTGCATTGCCTGTCATTTCCATTTCGATTTCGATTTTTCACACACAATTTGAATAAATCAACAAAAAGCTGCTGTCGCACACCAAACAAACTATACAGAAAGCGAAAAACAAAAACCAGAAAAGACAGAGAGAAAGAGAGAAAGAGAGAGAGTTTAAAAACCAACCTTAAATGTCATTTAAGCAAATAAATTAACGATGGAAATTAATGCGCGTTCATAAACAAACTGTTTGCATTGCAGTGCGGCCTCTTCTGGTGGAAATCAGCTTCAACAATCAGCCAATGTCAGCAGATCGGAAGTACGAGATCGAATGCCAGGCGATTGGATCGAGACCACCGGCCAAAATTACCTGGTGGATGGGCAATCTCGAGCTCCATGGTCACAGTCAGAAGGTAAATAAATTTATATTTTTTAATATTATCCTTAATTTATATCTAAAATCATACTTAAGGTCTCTGAGGATGGCAATGTCAGCACTTCGGTGCTATCGATCACACCCACTCGAGAAGATCATGGCAAGGCCTTGTCCTGTCGAGCCACCAATGAACTCGTTCGAAATGGCATTCGAGAAACGGCCATGAAACTGAATGTTTTCTGTAAGTACAATAAAAAAACCAAAAGACAAATGCTTTTTTTTATTAAATAATCAATCGATACCGAAATGTTTTAATTACGTTTATTAAGATGGCCATTAAACAAATTAAACATTATGGTTGCAACTTGATTACGTTTAAAATGGATAAAATTGTATTTTATTAATCTGAAAGTTATTGTGTTAAATATATATTAAATATTAATATTAATTTCCGAATCAGTGAATATTTTAGCCTTGAATAGGACTAAAAAATGTAGTCTACTTTTAAGCTCAATAAATATTTTCGATTTGTTTGCCTTTGACTGACTTTCAAAATAGCTTAACCTTTATAATTCCCCTTTTTTGGTCTTAAAATCAATCAAAACTGTTGTCAACGGTTCTGCTCCCCCGGAATATTCCGGGTACCAGGAAGAGCCGGCCCATTCCGCTTTAATAACACCCCTCGGATTTGACATATGCCGCTGGTTTATGAGTGCCCCATAAACCATCGATGGGCCCTCGTTTTGGTTCTTGTGCGATCCCATAAACTATGTCAACCGCTTATCGCCCATGTCCTTTGGGGAATCAATACTGTTTTGCATACCAATGCCATAGTGACATAACAGGCAGGAGGCGCCGGGGATTTCGGAACTCTGTTCCAAATATTGCCGGGCTTTACATAATACATTCAATTTTTTTCGGTTTTTTTTTTTGTCAATTTTTTTTGCGTTTGGTTGGCTCGTATGTCAAACGTTTGTTTTATGGGCCGCATCAACAATGTGCTGGGGGTAAAGTTTGTTAATAAAATTTCTATGGCAAAATATTAAAATCGCGCGCGCGGCCAAGGAAGTTGTGCATACACACACAGACACACACACACTATACGAAAAGGCGGAAGAGCTCACTTTAAGGCACAAACACTTACACACCCACACACACATATGCGGGGATAACCCTTAATGTTTCAATAGTCCTGGGGTCTCATGTCCTCATCTTCTGGGCTGTGACGACAGCGTCTTCGGCAAACAGTTGCCACGTCTATTATCTAAAAAGCTTGCCGCCTCGTTGTTCCCCAATGTCATTGAAACTTTTACTCCTTTCGGTGGCTGCCGAGATGATGGGGCTGCTTCCCCAGTTTGCTGCAGATGATGCACTGAGAGAAATGTCTAGATTTTCTATACAAAACTTGATAGTATTTTCCATACCAAACTTTTTAAGGTTAAATGAAAAATGAAACTTGTACTTTTGACATGAATATAAGCTATTTTTAATATATTTTAAACTTATTTTTCTCTCAGTGTGGTTATGTCTTGTGCGAAAGAGTCGTGCGCAGCTTCTGCGCGAGCGCTGATATAAAAAATTAGATAACAATTTCAATTTCCATGCTCATTTACATGTTTATAGCGTGCTTAAAATATTTTGGTCCCCCTCCGTTTTTCCTTTTCCTTCTCCTGCTCCTGGCACTTCCTGAGATTTCATATTTCCCGCCTTTCCCCACACCCATCTCGTTGCCACGAGAAGATTTTGTGTCTTTTTTAAGCGCTTTCTTTGTTTGCCTCCTGCGACGGGGGTAAATTGAAAAGTTGATGCAATGTCGGCAATGCTGCTGGCAGCGCGATGAGATGGGCCAGGTTGAAGTTGACGCTGCCAATAATTTTCCCATTATATTACATCACATTTAGCCGGGGCCATAAAAAAGTTATCTCTAATATCTTAATCAGAGAGCCTCACGCCACACGCAGGCAAGCGACCTCTTATTTTCCACACAATCAACTCAGGTTAGGCCACCGAAATTAAATCAACGGGAAAAGACAGGCCTACAAAAAAATTAAAGTCATATCCGCAATAAACTTAATGACGGGGCAGATTTTCGTATCATAATAATCATGATAATGGTTGGGGAGGGCTTTCTAGAAATAGAAAACGGGGTTTATGTTTATTAAAAAATGTAATAAATAATAAAATAATATGACTAAAAGGAAGGTAAAGAAACTTTTAAGTCTCTCTCTCTCTGAAATAATAAACAGACCTAATCTAATATATTAACAACTTCTTGGATAGCAAATATCTGGCAATCTTTTCTATATAACCACATTACCTATTACAAAACTTTAAAATGGAGAAAGGAAAATAATCTTTTTGGCAAATGCAATTTATAAAGCTAGGAAGGCTAGTGGAATCAATTTAAGGACTGCTAACAAGAACTGGTTCTAGTTTGTGCAATAGACAATGACAGGCCTCCACACACACACACACACACACACAGACTCATGTGCAAACACACCCACACAGATGTGCAAAGGTCCCTCCAATTGCAACTGCAGCTGCAACATAATGTGGCACTGGCACTCAAAAGTCGTTACGTTAAGCTGCAGTTACGACTGGAATGGGCTTGCTTTGGTTTTTCCTCTCGTTTTCGGGACACTCGCCACTCTCCACGAATGATCGGACCAAAAGGGGGAATCCAGGGGAACGGTTGACCCCACCGAGATGGAGGACCATAAAATGCATTAGCCAGACGTAGTTGGCCAGCTTGGCCAGTGACAGTTATTACCACTTAAGCCCATCCTAACCGCAACAGTGTGGCCTGCCAGCCACTTGGAACTTCCTTCAGAGAATATCTCACTGTCATTTTGCAGATAGAAAAATAGTATTGGCTTATAGCTAAGATTGTAATTATCAAGATTTAAGGAGTTTAATTTAATGGTTTTAAAGATTTTTATTTTATTTTATGGACATCTTCTATTACAGACTTTAAGTTAATAGAAGGGAAATAATTCCCTTTGACTTTTGTTTAACTAAAAATGTCTTTTGGCCAACAAGTACTTATTTTTGCTAAGTGCACATCCTTTATATTCCTTGTCCCTTCGTTTCTGTTTAGTTTTCTGTGCCGGCTTAAAGTCATCGCTAATGAACTTGTTGAGCGGGAAAAAGATAGACACAATGAGTGGGACAGGGAGCAATGATGCTGTTACAGTGGGAAAAGTCTTTAAATTATGCAAACTGCTTTGACTCGTCCCCATTGTCCTTGCCACCCCTTCAACTCCACCTCCCCCCATCCCATTTTCATTCGGTTTACGTTCATTCTGTTTCCGTTTCTGTGAGATGGTGAGTCTATGTGTGTGTGTGTGTGTGTGTGTGTTAAAGCACTTTTCATTTTCATTAACAAGTCTTTGCAAAAGACGAAATCGGCTTAAAGAAACTTGCTTATAGAACGTGCCACCTCAGAAAGTAGAAAAGGAGGAAACACTAAGCAGATAGAGGACCCAAGACCAAAACTACGAGAGTAGGAAAAGTTGCCAAAAACAATGTGCAAAATAATAATAAACAAGTGGTAGGTAGGTGGTAGGTGGGTGGTAGGTGGTGGTAGGTGGCATAGAGACGAGGGGCAGTTGAGATACATTCTAGATAGAAGGCGAAGGCGAAGCGACACTAATCACGGATAAGACTAGATTAACCCCCTTTTTCACCCTACCACCCATTTCATGCCTTTTCTTGGTCTCAAGTTGAAGGATTGTCCAAAAAAGAAGAACAGCAAATTACATTTGATGGACTTGCTCGACTCTCCGAGTGAATCACAATCCAAAATGCCTAAGTCTCTGCCTTAGTCAAATGAATACAATATACTCATCTCGTGTTTTCCATTATTTTCTTTGCAGTCATTCCTACCTTGCAACTGGACCTGGGCTCCAATCTAAATCCGGAGGATATCGAGGAGGGCGATGATGTCTACTTCGAGTGTAAAGTGCATGCAAATCCGGCTGCTTATAAAGTTGTATGGAAGCATAATGTAAGTGAGCAAACAAAAAACTTTACTTTCCTTTCCTTGACTTGCAATATTTATGAAGGGCTCTTCGGACTAGAAGTGCTATCTGTACTGAGACAAAAAGGGCAAGAGAGAAAGAGCTCAGTATGGTCTAGAGTGTAAAGTAAACTTTTAACAAAAAATACCTTTTAGTGGCATATAAAATATATTATTTTTGGCCCTGAAGCGGCCAAACTTTGACAGACTGACGTTTAGAGATGCACAGGAAAAAATTTAGTTAAGATAAAAATTTATCTATATATACAAAAAGAAACAAAATCTGTTATAGATTTAAATCAGCAAATCAATCAAAAATGCTTATTTAAATCTCCATTTATAGCCTTCAACTTTTGCATAACATATCCAGATTATTTACCATTTTGATAAACATTTTCCCCTGTCCTAAGTGACCTTCAAACATACTTCAAATGTTGCACTCAAGGCAATTGAGCGTACAACTGCCGAACTTCCGGCAATTCCCAAGACATTGGCGTGCTTCTCTTACACACGAGCCTCTGGCCGGGTAAATTATTATGAAACCGAAATTAAGTGGTCATTTTTACTGAATTATTGGCCAATTATTTTAAGGCAATTGAGTCAAGTGGCTGGCTGGATGGCTGGCATAAGAAAGACTACAGAGTGGGTAAGAAATTTCTGGGAGTTTACAAGGCAAATCATTTGTTTATTAGTAGGCCGCACAAAGGACTCAAAGAACCACGGCAACAACGACAATGCCTGCCAAATAAATGTTATTCAATGCCGAACAAGAAACGAATCAAGTGTATGAATAATATGAATGCTAATTGAATTCATTCACAATGAAGTACATGACCAAACAAAGAGCTAAGCTAAACAACAACAACAGCGACAACAACAACGGCAACAGCAAAGCCAACAACTTAGTCATAACTTTTACCGAAAAACAACAATAAGCAAATACAAATACTCAACGAAGACGACCAAAAAGTTTTTCCTGCCAGTAGATGGCAGGGGCTGGATGAGGGCACGGGGCAAACGAGGGATATTTAGTACAAAAGAACTTCCATAAGACGTTTGGTTAGGCTACAGGGTAGGTAGATAAAAACTTTATATGAAATAATAATTTGCCCGAGAGACAATGGAATGGTTGGGTTCTCGAGTGCTGATTCCATTACATTCTATCTTACATCGAACAAAATGCTAATTATACAGGCGTATAGAAACGAGATTGAGAGAGAGAGTGAAAGTGAAAGTCAGGAAGATAGGCAAAGGGACAATCAATGGGCTTTAGAAGTCAATGCTGAATGCAAATCAAGTGAGAAAAGAAATCTACAATATCGTAATCCAACACCCTTCTTGAGTGTCTTTTTGATAATTTTACAGATTTTTAAAAATATTTTGATTCAGTTCTTTTTATATCATATATCCTAAATCCCTTAAAGACTGCTTCTTAATCCAGCATATCATTTATCTAGAATGAGTTCCAACCTTAGTCAACGTCAAAACCTTTACGTAATACCCTTTTTACGTGGCACAGAATATGTATGACTGGCTAACAAGCCAGAAAGTGACAGCAGCACAGATAGTTAGTTAGTTAGTTGGCAATCGTCACTTACATTTAGCCAGCTCAGCGTGAAATCCCTTACACATCTTGCCCTTCCCCCTCTCGCTTTTCTTTTAGCCCGAGTGTCATAACAATAAAAGTTCACTGCGGCAGTACAAAAATGGAAATGAAATGGATACAAAACTAAGCCAAACACACACACACACACATATATATACAAGGAAAATAGTGAATGAAAAATGGGGGAAGGAAGAAGGGCAGGGAAGGTTAGACAGACAGTCACACTTGGTCGAGCTGTGCACATGGCGTATGCGTAATGAGTTCAAGGCCAGGCGGAAAATTGCAAATGACTTGGGCCAAAGTGAAGGCGAAGAAGCCAAGTCGGGCGTTCATTAAAAGTCAATTGTTAATTGGCAACAGCAATACAAAGCGACAGAACGACAGAGCGACAGTGCAACCTGCAAATGCAATTAAAAGTCAAATCAAGTTAAATCAACTCGGTTGCACTCAGTTAACAAGTAAATTAATTTTTGTTTTGCCACCACATCGATTCGGTTTGGAACCAACCTCCGATCTATTCTTATTCTGCCTCGTTGAGTAACCGCTGCAGGGCGAAAGTGGAACTCGGGCTGGCAACTTGTCTTCGTCTGTTATTATTCAATTAGACAAGCTGACAATTAACGACGAGCTGGCAAATTAAATTAACAATTAGTTTTATTAAACTTACACACACATGCACTCTCATAGGGCGAAAGTTCTTGAATGTGCGTGCGAGTAAAAGTTTTCACATGTTCATTAACAACAAAAAGCTAAAGAAGGAGCAGAACTTTGATGGAATCGTTGCCAGAGCAACCACTTGGCTTCGAATGAATCCGAATCTGAATCCCAAGTCCTGTTGGCGGCAAAACTTATTTAGCCCACACACACATATATATACACACTCACACACACACACTATAACATTTATCTGTGTTGCGTCAGGAACCGCAGAAATAGCAAACATAGCCGGAAAATTTGATTAGAGAACAAAGTCAGTGGAAACGACTTTAGAGTTTTGCAGCAACTTGAGCATAAATATTTACATAGTTTTACAAGGCAAATGGCAGTGGTAGGTTTGCTGTATACGAGGAAGTTGAAAATTTTGCATTGATTTAAATAAATGTTTTTATTATTTTTTTTTCAACTCTGAACTGCAAGTTTATGGTTAACTGAGATATAGAATTTCTTATTTCCCAAAGAGAAACACATTCCGCCACATCAAGAGACTTTCTTTGGCACTTCTTGCTAAATAATTAGGTGTAAAAAAGTTAAAAAAATATTATTGATACTTTCAAAATCCTTTAAAGAAGAGCAGCAGTGTAAAATAATCCCAAAGAAAGACTAAACCAAATCAACTCAATCAGACCGAGCCATCAGATAAATTACGGACACTAATTGGGTATTTATAGTCGGAACAAACATCAATGACAGACGAACACAAGAGGGCGGCCTGGTTGGGATTGTGGATTGTGGCTCATGGCTCACGGCCTGATGGGTGATGGCTCATGGCTCTTGGCGCTTGAGGAGTGGCAGGCAAACAAGTCGAAAACACGGCCGAGAGACAGACAAACAGAAATGGCAACGCATAAAATGCGCCATTAGCATTGAGGGGCACTAAAGGGTTGTGCAGACATCATCAAGTCAGAGAGGAGGGGAAGTGGTTGGGTGGGTGGTGACCTCGAACGGTTGGTGATGGTTTGCGGGCGGAAATTCTGCAGCGGATGTGCCTCGAACTATTTGAAATAATCCTCAACGCCCACTCGGGCGTAACGGGTCTGCAGGCCTACCTTCTTTCTTTTTAGCCTTCTATTTGCCTTTGTTTACACTTTTTCGTCTCTTATTTTTTGGTTTTTTTGTTAGGCTGCGACAACCTTGAACTTTATTTAATTTTCGTATATGCATGGCGACATTTTTATTTGTTTTATGACAACAAGGTCGCTGAGCCAAGCCACAGTTCGTTCCCACTCCCATTTGGGCTATTTAAGTAGACCCTACGGGAATTGAGGCTGTGCGGAAAACGAGAAGGGTCCATTCTGCTGTTCTGGGGCAAAATATGCCTTTGGGGGAACTTCAGCACTTTAAGGATCTTTAAACAAGTCAATGGAAATGCTAATAGCCAGAGAAACATAGAGAAAGAGATAGAGTAGAGCATTGCATATGTAATGGATACATCTGTATATCTGCAATCTCTCTCGGTTTCGGATAACACTGACACTTGGCCAATAGTATCAATCATTCCGACACAAAGCAAATGGAATTCAATAGCCAAAATGTGAATAGTGGGCAAATATTGTCATGACCCGGCCCATTCACCGTATGTCTAACCATCTAAATAATTGTTTACATCTGCACAATGGAGAGGGCAAACAGCAGAGGCCAACCTAACAAAAGACGCGGAATGGTATTCCCAGGATTGTCCCAGGACCCCTTCTCTCTCTCCAATGCATTCGAATATGAACTGTGGCTCTTCTTTCTGATCAACCCGCCATGGTTCTCCTCTGACCTAATATAAATATACTTTAAATTATTACGAACTATTTTTAGGAAGTAATAATTACTCTTCTCAAGGCATGTTCCTTACTATTGGAGAGGGAAAGAGTGATACGAGTATGAAAGTTTTGTTTAATTTTCAATATTTATGAAAATATTCTTCTAAATTAAATACATACATTATTTTTTCAAGTGTATTTGACAACACTATTATTTAAGTGTTGGGTTGCCTGGCTGCATTGTTTCTATTTATTTGCTCACACATCCAGATATAGGCATCTCGGTATGGATGTGTGCTAAGGTCGCTAAGGCATTGTTCTGCTGGCTTTTTGACTTTTGTCGACCATATATATATATATATATATTAAATTTCTACACATTTTTATTTCTATTTCTATTTATTTGAATGCTTTCATTGTTGCTGCCCCATATCCCGCCGCATGCCGCTTGTTTGTTTGCTGAGCTCGACGGCGGGCAAAGTGCGAATTTGTTTTGCTGCTAAATGGCACAAGGCTCTGGGGAAATGCGTCAAAATGTTGTCGAGTGCGCCGGGCCTGTTGGGGAAAATGGCTACAAAACCAAAAGGCGAACATCGAGCTTCGAGCATTATTTCAAAAATGAGAGCGAAAGTGCGGTAGAAGGCGGCCAGAAGGTCAAGCCTCTGTAAGCATTTTGGTGTGAAGGTTCTGTATATAAGCTGATGGGAGGGTGGGCGTTGGTGTGTTTAAGGGAAAACTTAAAGTAAATATGGGCTGATTTTTCAGTATATCGATGCCAGGCACGTAGTCAGCCAAGGCACAGCTTCTTAATGAAGCTGTGTGAGCTCACTGATGCGCGCATTTATGAGTGCTTTTCCGGAGGCCAAAAACTGCTCAGATAGGTGACCTTGTAACGAAGGGATATAAGTGAATAAAAGTTGGCCAAGCAAACAGAATGTTAAAGACCAACTTTAGGCATTCTTAAGATGAATTGATCTTTGGTCTGCCTGTACTCTAATCAGTAATTAAATACCTAATTAAAAGTTTAAAACGCGGAGAGAGCATGTATAAAATAAACTTCAACCTTAACCTTTCAGTACTCAAATCCCTGTAAATATAATTGCCATGAAAAGCTCTTACTCAGGTAGCTCTGGTATGGTATCAGCAGGTTAAGAAAGAGACTAAAATCTAATTAGCGTTGTCCAACAGAGCTCTTCCTTTCTCTACCACTCTTTCGCCTTTTTTGTAAGCATTTTATCTGTAATTGACGTACATTTTATACTAATTATGACTTAATCCTGCCAATTGCAGCATCAAATCATCCAGCACAACCAGCGAGCGGGCGTGATTGTCAGCAGCGGAGATCTGGCGCTCCAGGGTGTCACTCGTCACCAGGCGGGGAACTATACCTGCACCGCCTCAAATGTGGAGGGCGATGGAGATTCCAATGTGGTCGAGCTGAAAGTGATGTGTGAGTATCGCGTTGAGTGGGCAAGGATATTTGCGGAATATGTTGATTTGTGGCACCTTAGCACACATGCCATTGTGTGCGCCGCGCATTGTGTTGGCTGACCCATAAAAACGCTCTCCAACTGCTGCTGTTCGGGCCATTAACGAATGCTTCAGTTTGATGGGGGGATGAGGGGTTGGATGGTGGCATAAATAGAAAATCGAATTGTACCCCAAAAACCACCCACTTAAATCCTTCTTCGGCTATGCTGCTGCCGCTTCTTCTACTCCTGCCTCTGTTTGGTTTCTCGAGTGGACCTTTGACACACAAAAACGAGCATTATTGAGTGTTCGAGTATGGCCAGAGATGAGAGGATGGATGGCAAACAGCGGGGTAGCCCGATATAAGGGGAAACTGAACTCTCCCGGCATTGTGCGCTCGTGCGGGCCTCTTGCAGTTTTATTGCGTATACGCCCCATTATTGTGCGCTGCTTGAATGCTCCTTTGTGTGCCGCCAAGCTGTTGAAAGGGGCGAAAAAGTGGTTCCAGGAAAAGTGTATAGCACCAATCTCTTGCTTCGCAGTTTGATGGCACCATACGGGATGAAGGACATAATGGATGGTTTGCCATTTTAAAAACTTACTTGGAAATATCCAAAAAAATTTAGATATTTATAATATTAGAGATGATTTATTTCTTATCCTAACGTTCTTTATCCAAATACTTAATATTTTCTATATATAGTTTTCAATATTGATCAATGAAAGTCAAAATTATAGTCGCAAACTACCAAGATAACTCTGCTAAGGGGTATACGAAAACATTTGCCTAAGTATATTCTTTAAACTGTTTGGGTCTTCGGCTTAAGTTTGTTGTGGGGCTGCTTTCCTGCTGAAAGGACAAGACCGCAAATCTTCTGCTCAATTTGTGCAGGATTCCTTAACTTGGCCTCGTCTCGAGTCAAACTTTGGTTAATTAGTTTGCCTTTTTCGAGCAATTTAGCAGGCCAAAGATGCTTCTATTCATTTTCGCCGGCAGGAACCATTCGTCCTTCTGTTGTTGTGGCCTTATGCTTTTGGTTTTTTCCGGTGCCATTTCCCTTTTATCACTTCCACTTCTCTCTCTATATATATATTTTTTTTCTTCTTTTTTTTCTGAGCCTGGCGGACTTTTGTTTTAAGCTTCCGCTGGCCACAAAAACTCAATGTCCAACTCGCAGAACTTCTCCCCCCTGTTTCTGACAGTGTATTCCCCTCATCGGCCGAGCTGGGGCTAAAAATTTGTTTACGGCTTGCCCAGCTTGGCATGCAATATCGACAGTTGTCAAATGGCACAATAAATTCGCCACTTGCAACTTGAAAGTTTTGCAACTTTCGTGGCTGTGGCAAGAGACAGTTGAAAGATTTTCGCTGGCCAAGGATTAGAAAATTGAATATTCCCTGGCCTGCTCAACTCAGCTTTTCCTTGCATTTCCCGTTTGCTGTTGCTAAAAGTTTTCGCTGCTCAAAGTTTTTCTTTCATTCAAGTCTTCTCTTCGTAGTTTTATAAAATTGTATGAATTTTGAATGGCGGAATTCAAGAGGGTCTTAGGTATTGCAAAAAGGTTTTATCGTACTTAAGTTTTTAACCTAAAAATAAGAGGATGAATAGATGTTAGGAACCTTATACTATTTTATCATAACAGATACATCAATACCATTTAGAGGCCTGAAATTTAATTAGAATTTTCTAGAAAACCCACAAAAGGTATTTAAGACCTTCAAAATGAACCCTTCGCTTGCGCTCTTGAAAATCCGCCAATTCGTTTGTTTTCCCTCATCTGTTTTCTGTTAAGCCCACTTTGTTGGGCCTTTTCAGCTGCTTGAATGGGCAAACAATGGAGCTGGGGCAGATGCACACAGAAGGATAAACTTTACTACTTGCTATTCCCTGAGCCTTTGAAGAGGCAGACCAAAAACAAAGAATTCATCGGCCAGAGTTTGATGCGATTATTGATTCCAACTGCAGATGCAAACAACAGAATGCACTACAACCAAACTTCGTTTCGATCTCCGTACTCACAATACCATTTTCCTTTGCTCTCTTTATGCCCTACAGATAAGCCAATTTGCCGGCCCGATCAAAAGAAAATCTATGGAGTGGCGCGAAACGAAGCGGCCGAAATAGTGTGCGAAGTTGATGCCTTTCCGCCGCCGGAAAACTTCAAGTGGTCCTTTAACAACACGGCGGAGACTTTCGACATGCCGCAGAGCGGCTTCCGGCCACATTCCGCTCAGGGTTCCACTCTCACCTATACGCCCGTCAAGGTAAGTAACGAAAAAAAAAAGTCCGGAAAAACGAAAAAGTCTTTGCCCTGGGAACAACGACAAATGTCGTCGTCGGAATCGAGTGGTCCTTGGAATGCGTGACCTATTCGTCACGTTAAATGCTAAACACGTCAGACATTCGATTCAATTCTGATGGAAGCATGCGGCTCGCTGATAAATTTTTCATTTCATATTTCGCTGAGCTCGTCTTTAATGTGAAATTGTTATTGACACATTTGACATTTTGGTTGGTGGCCATACTGAGGAAAAAATATAATCAAAAATTTACAAAGAAATTAAATAGATTTTGCAAAAAGGAAAAATGAAAGTAATGTAAGGTAAAATAAAATGCATGTAGCTGAAATTTCTTTTATTTAAAATTTGTTTAACTTTTTAGAAACTTAAAAGTTAACATTAAATAAAGATTGTTTCATATTCCGAATATTTTTTATCAGTGCATTGGTAGTTACCATTGAACTCCACGGGGGGTTGTCTGTTATTGAATAGCAAAAATTTTAATTAATAGGCGGGTCACATGGTTGTTGCCATTTATTTTGGCCTGTGTGCGTGTCATGTTGTCAGCCAGCAACAGGGAAAGTAAAGTGGAGCAAAGTCCTTCCTGATAGAGACAACAGTCAGCCAGGCAGCCATTCGGGGCAGTCGAGCGATTTTAATTAAAAATTCTATTAGCACTGCTTTCTAATTAAAAATCCAATAGCAGCAACGCCGCCACCTCCATCAACATCATCATCATCATGATCATCATCACCATTGAATGTCAAAGGTTATTGAGGAATAAAAACAAAAAAGCTAGAACAAAAGAGTCCGAAAAATTATTGCAAGTAAATGCCATTGTCTTTAATAGTTATCATCATTGGCCAAAATGAAGAGGATAAAGCTAAGTACCTTCCACCTCTCTCTGTCTTTCTCTCTGTGTGTGTCGGACCATCTAATGTCTCCCTCTTTTTGGCAACATTTCCGCATTAATGGCCCAAATGGCCAACAGCAATTGCGATTGCAGTTTTACGTAGCTCCTCCCCAGCAATTGGCCAAGCAAATTGGCCATCAATGAGCTGCACTCCCATCAATGTCCAAATCGTTGGAATTTCGGTTTTTGCATTTGATATTTCCCCATGATGTCAGCCTCTCTGGACAGCAGTTGGTGCTATCCATGGGTGATGTGTAAATTTTTACGGTCAGCCAAAACATAGTTGCATGTGAAAGCTGTCGTTGTAGGAATTGGGAAGCTCAAAAGTTGCCACTAGTTGTCACTGCCAGTTGATAAAGCTTAGAATCAAATGGTCTGATTGGAGAGGCAATAAAATAAGAGAAAAAGGAGATATTTTTAGAGTTCTTTAGAACTTCCTGAGATAAAATACAAGTTAAAGCTGCCTTAAATTCTTATAGTGTTTTCATAAAAAAATCCCTGCAACTTTGAAACACTTTTTCTCTTAGATCCTGAAGACCAAACCAACATTCTGCCAGAGATTTTTCATGGCTAGATTTTGCCCATCAGCCAGTCATCGCCACCTACATTTCCGCTTGGCTGTCTGACCACAAACGTGTTAAGTTTTTCGGACTGGGCTTGTGGTCGCTTGTAAGCCAACATGGCTGCCATTATGCGATGACAGTGGAGGAGCTTCTGCAACTGGATGCTGTAAATGGCATTGGCCAGGGAAAACGAGGGGGGTTCCCCTTAGGCGGATGGGTTGGGATGTTGGTGTGCTGAGAAGAGGCACTCAACACAGTTGTTCAAGTTGCATGGCACCCAGTTGGTTTCGGTTTGGTTTAGGGTTTCGGGTCCTTCGCTCCGTCTGGTTTTTCTAGCTGACCCAGTTTAAAATGTTGCGGCTCCTTCTGCAGTTTTCCGGGCTTTTCCATGCTTTTCGACCGTCTCTTTTACGTATTTTACTTTATATTTGGTTCGCATCTCTTTTCATTTTTGGGCATTGAACTAATCAAACTGGCGGCGACAGCCTCGTCTTACATTTCAGCGATCAAACGAACGAATTTGCGAGGCAGTCAAAAGGCATTCAAATGAGTTCCGCTCACAAACACTCGTCCATTGCACTGATTGGACACAAATACACACACATAAGCACAATCACACACACACACACACACACTCAAATACACATACAGACATAAATCATTTAGCTCAATTGAATATGAAAAATCCCTTCCGTTCTGTTGTCATATATGCTGTTTCCGGTTTCCGCCAACCGCAGCTCAAACGTCGTCGACGTTGTCGTCGTTGGCGCTGTCGTCGTCACATTTTGGTTGGGATTTTTCTTCTTTTTTTTTTGCTGTTCCCTCCAATTTTCTTTTATTTTTTTCTTCCTTCTATTTTTGGTCCTGCCTGTGCGATTTGCCCAAAGGCAGCCAACAGCTCATTAATTTTGTTTTGTGCCTGGGCATTTCTCTTTCCCAACATTTGCCAACATTTTTTCCTCAATTCCATTGCTATTTTCTATGTGTGAGCTGAGCAATTTTTGCCAGGCTTTCATGTCAAGCAATTTCCGCTGCTGACATATAAATTTCTCAAATATTTCACAAAAATAAATTTCGGTCTCTCGCTCTCCCTCTCTCTCTTGGCTTTTTTGAAGCTCTGCAGCTTGACGCCGGTCTCTATGTGTGTGTGTGTGAACCCCAGTGCAAGAAACTCATTAAAATGTCACTTAAATGTTTAAATTTTTAATTAAAATGCATAAATAATAACAGCAGACTTGACTTGAAACGAAATGCACAGAATGCAGAATGCCTAGAAGTGGCATTTTGTCCTCTTTAGAGCCCTTAAACACACCCAGATACACATACACAGGCAAATATCAAGTATACGGTGGCGTATACTATACATATATATATATTTTATGGATTTTGTTTTCATTTCTACGGCTACGGCTACTGGTAGTGGAACTGCAAGTGCCACTGCTGCAACTGCTGCTGCTGCAGCAATATTTACACTTTTGCTAGCGCAACATTAGAACAATATAAACAAAATGAAATAATCATAATAAATAGAAGGGGCATAAATTCAGGGGCCTCCAGGGACTGCAAAATTATCAAGGATTGTCGGCCGGGGCGATGACAGTTGCAAATAGAAAAAGCAGAGCGTGCTGTGCATCTCCCACATTGATTATTACTTAAAATGCCAGGCAATTGTTGGTGTGTTTCTGGCTTCTGGTTTTATGCTTTTGCTCCTGGCAGCTCCATTATTATATTGCCATAGTAGTAGTAGTACTCCTGCGAAGTAGCTTCTGCTGTCTTTCTCTCTCAGACACTTTCCCTTTTGGCCCCGTTGGTGGTGTTGATGCACAGTGTTGGCAGCTGCCAACTTGGCGCCTTTGTGCCAACACTTTTGCCACAAATCCACACACACACACACACACACAAACATAGCAACAAAAAGTGCCAACGCTCTTTACACACTAGGCAAACGTATTTTAATTTTCATAAATTTGTCATAAATTTGCATAAGCACTGTGTGTTGCTTAAATTATGAAAGTCAAAGCAACAGAATATTTGCAATTTATTTTCGTCTTCATGGCCTCTCAAGGCAAAACTACACAGATTACTCACAAAGAACATTTTCTGCTCATGAATTTTGCTTTTAATTTGGCTTAAAGCTAGAATGTTTTAGGTAAATTAGTATTTATTTAATTCAATGGTTATTATTCATTTTGATTTATTTGCAGTTTAGGAAATCTTTTAAGGAGTTTAGTGGAAGAGTGCTTATGAAAAGCTTGTTATAATAATATTTATAGCCTAGTTTATTATTAAGTTAAAGATTTAAATTCTTTTTTAATAGGAAAGTAGTTTAAATTTAATTTGAATCTTAAGTTATAACCGAAAATTAGGTATTCCCCTCAACTTACCCAAGCAACATCAATAAAACTTAATTGGAAATTTGTGGTTTATGAACTCAAGAGAACCTAAAAGCCACCCAATCGATTTTTATTAGAAGGGATAGAATAGGCCAAATAATCAATCAGTGCCGCCAAACTCCCGAACTCTTTTTTCTAGATGATTGGAGTTTCCATCAATGTTGGAAAGGAAAACCTTACCCATTCCCCGATTTCCATAAATCTCGACTTTCCCTTAGGCAGTTGGTAAACTTTCCTTTCGGTGTGTGTGAGTTCGCTTTTTATTTTGCTGCTCCTGTTTCTCTTTTCTTGCCCTAATTAAAATGACAGCCACGCCCAGCTTGCGAGTCGAAAAGATAGCAAAAGCTGAAAAAAAAAGAAGAAAAAAGTGGAGGTTGAAACGCGTGCGGACTGATAAATAGGCTGCAATTTGAGTTGACATTTCGCCGTGCACCCGAAAGTGATTTCAATTTTTAATGAGTCCGGGACCGCCTGAAGTTGATTAAGTGCGTTGAGTTGATTCTGGTGATTCCCAGTGAATTGGGGGAAAGGACAAAGGTAAACACGCCCCCAAAAACAAAACAAAGACAGAAAATGATACGCAGATAGATACTGGCCACGAAATTCTGGCGAATCGATTGTTGTTTTGAGGAGAGTGGGGCGGAATGGGGGGTAACGTGTGTGAATGGTCCACTAGTTCGTTGGGTGTGTGCACTTGACCGGAGACGAAGGATTTCATTAGCACAACATTTGACAAAATGCAAACAAATAAACAAGTGAGACAAACAATGGCCAAGACCGCAGGCGGCCACTTAGCAATGGGCTACAATGGGATAGACAGGCATTAGGGCCATGTTAACATGACTTCCTTCCTCGCCCACAATTCGCACGGATATATATATATATCTATAGATATCTATGGGTATATGTAATGGCCATGGGGGAGAACCACAAAATGCTTCATTTGTTTTTACTGCCAGGCATTTTTCCTTCTGGCTCGTTCTCCTTGGCCTTTCTGCATTGACATGACATGAAATTATATTAATGAAAAACTTATTGACAGCTGCAATCAATCAGGGGCAACTCTGACAACATACTGGGCCGTATCCATATTGATTTAATGAATTAAGTTCGTATTGATGTTGAGCGCGGCTGCTTGAATTCCATTTAAATGTGTGTCCAGGAGATGAAATCATGTGGATGCGAGGAAATCGAAAATAATATATTTCTTTTCTCCTATAAATGTGATTTTTGAAAAATTTTTAAATATAAGTAATAAATTTTAAGGGTATATATACTTAAAATATATTATTTCAGTTTATATTGGAATATTGTGGAAACTACAACACTTTCCTTCCATCTATTTTTAACCCATGTAACCTATCACCCATTGAGTATTGACGAAACGCTGTCTCCTTTTGCTTTTTGCAGGAAATGGACTTTGGCACCATCATGTGCTGGGCCGACAACAATGTGGGTCAGCAGAAGGAGCCCTGTGTGTTCCATTTGATAGCCGCTGGCAAACCGGAAGCGCCCACCAATTGTACGGTGGTCAATCAAACGTCCGACTCGCTGGAGGTTTATTGCATTGAAGGTGAGTTATATTGGCCACACACACATACACACACACATATACACACTCCTCATACATACAGTTATACATATACGTCAAATTGCCAGCCAATTTGTTGGCCTTTTTCATTCGGTTCGGTCTCTTTTTTTTCCTTATTCTTTTTTTGTTTCTATAATTGCTGATGAGCCAATCAATGGCCGAAAAAGGCATTGGTCAATGGGATTGGGAGCGAGGTGGCAGCAACTGGAAACTTGCAAAGGGCCAAAATGGCCAAAAAAGGATGAATGGGGGGGGGAGTGGTCATGTCCTGAGACTTCCTTTTGCAGCATGGGCACGAGTGTGCCAGTGCCAGTGCCAGTGCTGTAACAACATGTATATGTTGAGTTTCCTGCAACGCTTTTCAGACTCATTTAAAATACATGAGCAACTTAAGTGCACTTTGGCAGCCATCTACGAGTATGTCTATCCACTCATACAGATACCGATTCGTATATTTTCACACACACGAATACTCGTAAAGCAGAGCCAACTTCCTTTCGTGATGCAGACACAAATAATAAAAACGCAATGAAAGCATAAAACTAGAAAAGGAAACGCTTCGAGGAACGAACTAAGGAATGGGCAAAATAATGTTGCTAAAATTTCAATTCCAGTTTAAAATTTTCAGTTTCAGTAATAAATAAAATAGAAGCAACGACGGTCGGCCATGATGAACAGTGAGCTAAAGGAGCGCGAACGGCCGAAAGTTAAGCGCAAATTTGTACATACAAAATGTTTTGGCTTGTTAGGCAAGTCTTGCTGCCTCTTGCCAGTTGGTGAAGAAGTGCAAGTAGAAGTAGATTCGAGAGCGGAAACTTTAAATACAAATTCAATTCGCATATTTTATGCGCAGCGCAAGAGTTGGGGAAACGCAAAGACAGAAAAATGCCAGCAAAGCGCAAAATAAGCAGCACAAATTGCAGTCCCCGAGTTCAAAGTTCACAGGCGATAGAGTTGCACATTAGCGCAGACAGAGAAATGTCCTCGCAAATTGCAGCAGCTCTGAGCTTATGATGCATTTATGCAGTCCTTGAGTGCCGCCGAACTGGCGAAAGAGATGGCAAAAGCAGGCAGTGAGGAAAACCGGAGGGAAAGGCAAGCGGATCCTGCGAAAAAGGCAACGCAAATCAAAGCGTTGCATAACGAGGCGGCTGCTGCAAGATGTGCAACAAAAAGCGCATAATAACTGCATACTTAATGGCGCTCTTTCCCTTTACTGTTTGTTACGCCCCCGCGTGGCGCTTTTCCACTTTTCTTTCTCAGTTTTTTTTTTGGTATTTGGATGGGGGAAAGACCCCCTGCTTAAAGCCCTCAATGTTTTCCACCAATTGCTGGCAATTGCAATTGTTGTGCTTACTTAATGTTGTCTCAAGTGTTTGCCCACTCTGCGTATGCGTAATGTGTAATTGCATTACAACACACACGCTGCAGAATGGGTAACTGGGAAAATGTTGGGGAAATTCCTTGGCAATGCCTGCATTGTGCGATCTACGAGACTTCTCGGAAATGCTTGAGCTTTTCTTTTTGAAATTCTGCCTGGGTTAACACATGTGGCTGTGGCAGCAATTTACTTTATGAATTTAATATTTTAAATGAATATGATTTAAGAATTCGTGGGTTTAAGTTTGTCAATTAAAAACTACAGCCCTTAATTTATTATTATTATTCTCTTTATGGTTATGTTATGAAAAAGAAATACAATTTAAAATCATTTTCTAATAAGAAATATCGAAAATATTTAAAGGTAAAACCCTTTCCCAATTTACAACCAAACTATCTACTTATCTATCCCTTGGTAAGCGGCCACACTGCGTATACTTGATAACCAAACTTTGGATATCATTACCTATGCACTGCAGCGATGGCTTTAAGCTGCTACTACATCTCCCTTCCTCGTTAAGCCATTGTTCGTCCCTATTACCGCATCACTCCCCTCAGCCACACCCACTTCCGCCCCCACCATCCGCCCCTCGGGCTGCTAATTTAGTGGCTGCACATTATTATCATAGTCATCAGCATCATTAAAACTTTAACGCAAGTTGTTTAAGCACAACACGAGAGCACCAGTAGCAGCATCAGGATCAGGGCAGCTCCTCGCTCACACAATGCGATACTTTTTATATTGCACTCTCTACATTAAGGCGAACGACTGCTGAAACTGCCACGCCCCTTACTGGGCGCAACTCAATCCACTGTCCAAACCGCCCACCGCCAGGAGCCCTTGGTCGTTTGTTTTTTATAATAACTCAACTTTAGCTGCGGTCGACTTTAATAAGCCAGCACGCAACTTGGCCAACTCAACTCGACGTGGCCGTCGCCGCAGCTCAACTTGGCTCAAACTGAACCGAACCGAACTTAAACCAACTCAGCCCGACTCGAATTGAATCCAATGTGCCCTGATGCTGCCACTGCTCATGCTTCTGTTGAAGACAACTCCACATCTTTGGGGGCCAAGTTCGGTTGGCGGCTACTGCTGTTTCCCATTTTTTTTCTCCTCCCTTGCTTGGAAAACAAAAATATAACAAACTGGCAGGGCAACGGGACCGGCAACTAACCAAACTCATCAAGCGTCGGTTTAATATAATAAAATTTCAGTTTATAACATTTTGCTTCGCTGCTGACGATGCTATTGCACTGGGCAACAATTTCGTTTATTTTTTATCGGGAAGAACAAATGGAAGTAGAAATGGTATTTGAAGAGAGATATCGTATTTGAGGGGACATTTTTATTCAAGTAAATGTAAGAAATATAGTCAAAAGGTAGAAATTAAGAACAAAAAGTTAAAGTTAAAGAAGAACTATTCCGTTTTTTAAGCTTAACTGGCTGGTTGATAAACTTTAGTGAAACCTTTATAGTATAATTTAATACTTAATAAGATAAATAAACTATCTTTTAACACCCATTTCTTGAAGTGTACACCTATTTCTGCTGCTGGCTGCTCTTGTTTTATTATTTTTACTCCACTTGCGCAGCTCCCATTGTTGCTGTAGCCAAGTAAATAAAATTAACCCATTACAATGAAGTTTCGTTCCGTTTTTTTTTTGCTCTGACAACGAAGCTGCGGCAAATTTCATTAGCTAAACGTTTTAAAGTGCGCACAAAATGGCCGCCAACGATGAGTGAGGGGAGAGGAGAGATCCCTTGAAAGGGAGAAGAAAATAAGAATGGAATAAACCCACTGAGCCGTCCACTAAACCACCCACCAAACAATGACGCTTTGAGGCAAAGGCCAAGCACATTCTCTTTACTCTATTTCCGTGGCCTTTTTCTTTGTGCCCGGAGAATTCGGGTGGCTGGAAAAGCGGCCAACAACAAGGAAAATTCATAGCAACATATAAAACATTTTCCACAACAATTTCTCTCGTTGAGACCCGAGGGCGTGTGCCTGTACTGAAGGAAGGAGTAGTAGTTGGTGGAAAAACCCGGCCCTAAACCTTTTCACTGGCCGTTGGTGCCTTTATTACAAAATATTTTAACATTTTTCGCAAGTGTTTTAAGTCGGCTTTTGTGTCTACAATGAAGTGCCATTTGAGCTGACTGGCAAAGCTAAGCAAAAGCAGCCGCTGAAGAAGTGGCCCTTCCCTCCCCCACCCCCACCAAAACATTAGCCTCTTACTTTTTGGCCAAAAACCGCTTCGCCACTCAAAAGGGGCGAACTCAAGTGGGTTTTTTGGCCAGTTCTTTTGTGGTGTGATTAAATGGCATTTAAAATGTAACTTTAGATTACTCTAAATACATATTTCGGCGGCAGTTGGCAAAGAGTTGAAGGGCCCTTCAATTACAAGTGAGCTCCACTCAAATGGGTGACCTTTATTTAGGGGGTTGTGGAAAATGCTGTATATATTCGGGGGTATTAAGTGGATGGTTGTTGTGAACAGAAATAGACATCTGAGGGACAGTGCTTTTATCTATTTTCTAAAAATAAGTTTTAAGCCTAACAGCATTTTTTGAGAAGCTCTAAAAGTTTTCTTTCTAGATTTTTCTCAAAACAAAAGTATTTATTAAGCCGTACTCGTGGCATTGCTTTATTTCCGGTATTATCAGTAAACTTATTTTGTTTGAATATTAAAGCTTAAAACTTGGCAAAACATTCCTAACGATTATTCTGTTTATCAATTGTACCTGCCATCAACAAAATCCCGGCTAAGCATTTGCAGTCATAAATAAATCCCTGGCAAAATCCCTAAGCAAAGTATAAATAAGTTCTACCATCGATTGTCAACTACTTAATATTAATAAGCCCAAAGATTCGCCCTCTTGGCCGATTCCAATACCAATACCAATCCCTGCCAATATGCTAAGTAAGCCCCAGTTCGTGACAAGTTATGCAATCTGTGTTTCTCCCTCCATTTCCGCAGGATTCGATGGCGGGATGCGGCAATGGTTCCTCATGGAAATCTTCGACCAGCACAGCGGTCAGCTTCAGGCCAACATCAGTGCCAAGTTTGCGGCCCTGAGCGTTACGGGCTTGGATGCTGGCCGCCTGTTTCGGATCTATGTGTATGCCGTCAATGGTAGAGGACGCAGTGATGCCATTGCCCTCGATGGATACACTTTAAAGGCGGCCGAGAAACAGACTGGTAAGTGATAAATTAGTTATGAAATCTTTAGTTTTAGTTTAACATTTGTTAAATAAACTAGCCAGACGTAAACCTCATTTTCTTACAGTGAATTTTATTTTTTATGAATTTTTTATGCTAATTTTTAAGACTTAAAAAAGGAAAACTTTACGTTCAGAGCCCTCGCTAGCCTGTATATCAGTTACGCGAAAAAGATTGTTCTGGGCTTTTATGATTATTATGCCACCTCACAATTTAATTACGCTAAACTGCTCAATGAATTGTAAATTCAGCGACACAAAACTTTCGCCTGCAGTTTTTGGGACAGTAAGCGAAAAATTTTATACAGCCTTCTTCCTCCGCAAAGTAGCGTAAAAAATCTGAAATGATTAGCATTAATGAATTGGGGTTGGTGGAATGAATGCGGAAAGAGAGTTTTTTTATTATTGAGGGTAAGGGGTCTAAACGAAAAAGGAAATTGTAATGCTAATTAGCCAAAGGAAGAGCTGACAAGAATTTTATTTTCATTTTTGTACATTTCCCTTTATTTTTTGTTTTAAGAGGAAGGAAAGGAAAGGAAGTCGAAAAGCTGGCTGGGGGGGGATCTATCTACAAGGGACAGTCACATTTTGTGTAAACAACTTGAGCCGACATTTCAATTTTTCATAAAGTCAGTCGGATGGCAATGGCAAACGGGGAAAAGTGCAAAGCAAACACAGCAAACGGCAGAAGGAAAAGCCAGCCAGAGATGGAAATCAGAAAAGAAAATTGTCTTGGCTAGGTCAAAGAGTGGATGCTCTGAGGAAAGGTTAAGCTTGATTATGATCAGCATTTATAGGGGATTCATTCACTCAAAAGGGAATATTGACTGAGGCACAGAAAGGTGATCAGAATAGATTAGGAGATTTAGAGGAAAGGAAAAAAGTTACGAAGGAAAGAAGTTTTTGTCAATAACCCTTTGATATATAAAGATAATTAGTATACAAAATCTCAAGAAGCATTTTGACTTTTACTAATAATTTCTGTAAAATGTATCTCTACAGTCGCCTTGACCTCGTACAAGGGCAGCGCCCAGAGTCCGGACAACTTTGAGCTGACACCGATCCTGTCGATTGGCATATTCGTGGGCATCCTTGTGGCCATCGTTTGCATTGGGATTGGCACCATTGCCGCACTGAAGCTGCGCTCCCACAAACATCAACAGCAACAGAAATTCGTACATCCAAATGCGAAATTCTCACGTCCGGGCAATTTGCAAATTAAGGACAAAATCTCATTGCCATTGAGTCACTCCGAGGAGATGTACGACGAGAAGAATCCCGATGTTGTGCCCTACAATGAGGGTAAGTGTTCCCGGGATTCCCGTACCCTTTACCTTACCATCCTGCTACTTCACCGTCTTCTTCTGCTGGGGGTGTACCCTTAAGATAAATGGCTTCTACCCAGCCTGTTCTGTTCTGTTCACAATTTATGGAAGCTGGCTTGAGGCTTCCCTTTATGCAAATGCATTTGACAGGCCGTCCGGCTCATGCAGGCAAAACAAACAGGTCCTAAAGTCCTCAAGAGCTGGCTGCATTTTTGTGCCAGTGCTGAAATATTTAAATGACAGCTAATTGCTGTCAGGTCCTCGCCGGTTAGCTTGTTTGCTCCTGTGTCTGCTGTCGAGGGCCTTAAAGACCCATTTTAAACGCCAAAACGGGGGTAGAGTTTTGCCAAAGCAGCACCTCTGGTAGTAGCAGTGGCAGCAATTTCACTCACTGCACGTGCTCGCTTGATTAATGGCAATCAAGAAATCAAGCGGCAGCCAAAAGCAGAAGGAGCAGCATAGCACAACAATTTAATCAATTTTCCAAACGTAAAGCAATTTCATGGCCAAAAAAAAACACAAAATCGAAAAATAAAGTAAAGCAAGGGAAAAGCCAAGCCAAGGAAGCTGGAAAGCGGTGGGAAAATTGAGCAGGAAGAAAACTTGCTGCCGAAAATCACCAAAAGATTTGAGGGCGTCGGCCGGGCCAGAAACTTTTGCCTTGCTCTTGCTACTTAACAACAAAACAGAAACGACGTCGTCTTCTTCGGCGGCCATCTCAAACTTTTCGAACTAACTAAGCGTTCTCCATTCCCATCTCTTCCCCATGTTCTCCTCTCTCTCTCGCCATCATACGAAAATTTCCATCCAGTTGATGGCGAATATAAACAAAAATCAGCAACACAAACGCCATCGGGACATCTTTCGACGACCAGCGAGGTGGAAATCAGCTGCAAGCCGGGCTCAACATCCGGCACCGGAATCGTCCAGGCCAACTCGGCGGACAGTGGCACCTATCAGAGCAGCAAGGTGAGTCGACGAGACGCCGCCGCCATTCGGCATTTGGCCAAAAAGTTTTTTGGCCACCGAAAAGTTTTAATTACAGTCGAAACTACTCTATGACGAACTCCATTAAGTGGCAGCACCACGGCCCAACATTGCCATGACAAATGCTTTGATTTGATGTCGCAAATTTCTTGCGAAAATCCTAATGCTCTTGAAAACAATTTGGTGCCAGATTAGAAAATAAATCCGTGATTATAGCCCTGTCCAGGAGAAAACAGTTAGCAAAGAATCTTTTTTGGCTTCACCTTTTTTGGGCAAGGCTGTTCCCTTAAGGAGTTAGCCGTCTTGTATTCCTGGAAGACCAAATTGCTTATTTTTTTAAATGTAATTGAAATTTTGTGTTGCTTGTAATTATCCCGTCAAATGCCTTGATTTTGTGTAACTTATTTCCTGGAAAACCTTAATGCCTTTTAAAACTAATTCGATTAGATCAATAAAAACAGAAGCGAACATTTTTAACTATTTAATTGAAAGATATTTTAAAGTAAATTTGAAAATGAGACAGATTTTGTAATCTTAATTTGATCAAATAGACTGCTTCTGAGAAGTTAATACAGATTTTTCTTTCCCTCAACTAACACAAGGAAAATCTTGGAAAAAATACGATATCTAGATAACAGTTTTCCCTTGAGAGTTTCGACTGTAGTCCATTTTGCGCTTTTCCCCGGAAACTCTCAGATGACAGTTTATTAAATGCCTGGCCAATTTTCTCTCCCGCAGGACGATGAGCTGCACTACGCGGAGCTGTCGCTGACCAATATGCCATCCGGCAGCAGTGTAGCCTCCAAGAAGGGTCAGCCGGTTGGTGGAGTTGGTGTAGTACAGCAGGTGCAGCAGCAGCAACAGCAGCAGCAGGGACAGGGACAGCATCCTCATCCCATGATGGGTGGCACCTTGCCGCACGGGTCTAGCATGCGAAAGCTGCTCCCCACCATTCCGGCGACGGCGACGCTGCAGCGTCACAAGCCAAATGCGGGCGGACTGCAGCATCCGCACCAGCACGCTCCGCCGCCCACGTACGACTACGATTACTTTGAGGAGCCGACGATATATGCGCAAATCGATGCGTACAAGACGATGCAGGTGGACACGACTGGGGCAGGTGTGCAGCAGGGTGGCATTGTTCCGGGTGCCGGGCAATGCGTCTCCTCGCCGGGATCGCATGGCACACCATCCACCGTTTCGCCTGGTACCGTGCAGATGTATACCCTGCCCCAGCATCCCGGTGGCTATCACACTCTGCCGCACAATCATCACGCACAGCAGCAGCTGGCGGGCGGTCCACAAAACTCCGCTTCGATGATGCAAATGATGCAGCAGCAGCAGCAGCAGCAGTTGCACCACCATCCTGCGTCCAATATGCCGCCATCCTACCAGCAACACCAGCAACAGCAACAGCAAATGGCCCATGGCCAAATGCTGGTTTCGAGCAACAGCAGCGGATTGGCCTCCACCACGGCGGCCGTGGCCAGTCCCAGTAGTTCATTATCGGGACTTTCAGGTGTAGGCAAGTCCTATTCACGCGAAATTGTAACCGTTCGCACACCGCTCATGTATTCGCAGCAGGAGAGCTGTGTCTAAGGTGGATTTATCCCAAATCCTTGCACTCCCAAAAATCCAACAAAATAAAATGGAATAGAAAATAGTCATGTAAGTCTTGAGCTCTTCGTGGTTGGTGTCTAGGCTAAGTGTTGCCAAAACGAATTGAATTAAAAAAATTACAGCATTCATGAGAATTGAAGGAAATCGTTTGTGTGCTCGTCGAGGAACTGAATATTTTTAAATACCAATCTTGGAATAAGCGGCCACAATGTCCCCTAAACCCCTTTGATCTAAAAATGTATTTATTTTTATCATTTATCACTGTAAATATTCAATTTTCTACTTCTAATATCTTTAAAAGCATTTACTGCCAATTATACGAATCTATTTTAGGTTAATTTTATTTTTCAGAAAGCTAGTTAAGTTTATTACTAAGTAAAGCAAATTGTTTAGAAAAATATTTACCTATTTCTACCTTAAAAATAGTTTTTTCAATACTTTATAGAAAATATTAAAACCAATTCAGGACTCAATTTAATAATTAAACTCACAAAATATTTAAAATATGTTGTTTATTCATTAAATAATATTTTAATTTGCATGGATAAACACATCAGTTACACATTTAAGTCATGATTCAACCATTAATAAACCAAAATTGATCAAAAAAATATAAGCAGAAAAGATGCCGAAATCATAATTTATAACCCTCCTCAAGTATTTAGTAAATCCCGCAGAAATTCATTCATTTTTTATGATCACTTTAAAAAAATAACCAAAAGATAACGATGCAGCAGATGAAGAATGTTCCTTCCTTACAGTAAGTACTCAGATGGACACACACAGACAGTCTATGGAATATTTTTGTCAACAGATTACTTCACACAAACGAGAATTAATATAGTTAAATTTGCATTAATTTTCCAAGGAGACTTTGTAAATGTTTGTAAATGTCAGCTGGCTAGTGAAGCGCGGCAATTTCTAGCAATTAGGCTCAAAGAATGCATAAATTTAGTATATATATTTAGTAAGTATATCCTTGATATAATAGACTTAAAGCTCACACTCACTCAACCAAAGATAGGCGAGCAATGCGAAGGCGCAACTTCTTGGCAATTATATTGAAAATAAATTACATTATTCGAATCTATGGTAAAACAATATAAATAAACAAACACACACAAGCAAATTAGCTGCAATTAGCTTAGCATAAATGAATACTAAGTATTAATGTGTAAATAGCAAAATCGTAAATCAAATTTATTTTACAAAACCCAAAAAGCAAATCAAACAGAAAATCAGCAACCTAATGAATGGTAATTAGTTGCACTTTCCATGCAAAAAAAAAGAAAAAGCAAAACACAGAAAGAGAAAATACTTGAAAAGACTATAAATAACAAAAAGAAAACACAACCAGGACCTATCGTTGGTATGTAAACTTTGAAAACGAAAATAGAAAGAAAAACAAAGGGGGAAATTGTTGTTTGTAAATTGCATTTATATATCAAATTGTATTTTTTTCTCTTCAATGTATAAATCAATGTTTGAACTGTGAAAAGGTATAAAACTAACAAAATAAATGCACCTTGTAAATTATTGTTACATTTTAATATTTGTGTTTAATGAATGGGAGAATAGAAAACAAACACACACACACACACACTCAGAAAACAAACCAAAACGAAATGCTATACTCCTTTAAAGTATGTAAAGTGAAAACAAAAATGTTGAGCTGTAATTGTAATAGACAGAATAATGGCCCAGCATGGCGAATGCAATTTCCATTTCAAGCTAGTTAAGACAAAAAGACAAAAACTCTTAAAAAATCAACTAAAAAAAACCTAAAAAAAAGAAAGAAAAGAAAAGAAGTGATTTCTCTTACATCAATTAGAATGAAATACAAAAGGAAAAACAACAAGTACATATATAGGTCGGTCATCATCTATGCGTATATTTCTGCATGTAAGTGTTCCAACCAAATATGAATCTAAAACTAAGTGTAGCTAATTTAACATCTAAACGAAGCCATAAAAAATAATTGTAAAATATATTAATGATTTAGTTTAAAAGACAGCAAGGCAGCAACATATACTCTATACAAAATGAATTATGAATGTATGTTATGATTAAGCACTCGAAACGATATGGAAAATACCCCTCCCTTATCCCAAATGAATACAAGGAATACAATAATAACTTGAGACACAAGAAACAAACTGAACAGCAAACAAACTGAATGAACTCAACCAAATAAATCCATACAAAATTTCAATGAAAGGCGTACAGTATTTTCTTTCTTTGCGAGAGCGAACGGGTTTTTTTTTTCTTACAGATTTCAGATTTCAGATGTCTGCCTTGGTGGCATTATCCCGTCTCAGTCAGCGATGAGAGCTCAAAAGAAGTCTCGGCCCATTAGCGACAAGGCTTTCACTGCTGCAATGTTGCAACCATTTTAATGCACACAAAAATGCAGTGAGAGAAAAAAGGGCATTGTTTATGATTGGAAAGGAGATTTCACATTGACATTAAAACTTAGCTCTCCCTATTTCTCTCTCTGTAAGAGCAGAACACACACACAAACATACCATAGCGGACATAAATTGACAATGCAACGTTGTTGGCGTCTTCTTGCAGCAAAGGCCCCAAGGCCAAAAACGAGCCAAGTAGCCTTTTCAAATTGTGCACTCAAATGGACACAGGCGAGGACAAGCGACAACGTGGCGTATGAGTTATTTCGGCATGTGTATGTGAGTCCCTCTCACAAGCATCTCTTCCATTTGGCTTTCCTCATTTTCCCTCATCGTAGGTTTGTTTTTCTTTCTTTCTTTTTCTTTTTTTTTTTTTTGGCAAACGTTTGCATGTGCAGCGAAGCGTAGATCTAAGAGAAATAAGACGACAGCAGGAGACATCACATGGATTTGTGGCCTGGCAATGGCAATGGTCATGTTTGACAAGCCAACCGGGCTGCTCATGACTCTCTGCTCTCTGGCCATTTTCAGGGGTCCTTCAAAGTATTTGCGTTACTTTGTTTCGCTTGGTCCAAAATTAAAAAGCACACACACACTCGCACACAATGGACAGGACAGGAGACTGAAATTGAGATTGGTATACGGAGAGAAAATGAAGGTGCAGTCAAAAAATAACGACTTTCGGCGGAGGTACACTTACATTTTTATATATTTTTGGAATTTTTAAAAGGTAAACATATTTAAAAAATAGTTAGGTATTTGACTAACTAAAGTAATTATAATTTTCCTAAACAGAAATATAAAAATGAGCACTCTTTTTACCTAATTTTAAAGGGCCAAATTAATTTTAACATTCTTTTTAATATTAACAAGCTTTTTTGTAATAAATTTCCGATTATATTCAAACTTTTTTCATTAGTCAACTTCATATTTGTAAAGTGTAACCATGAGACAAAGTTCAGGTCCCGGACTGCCTCATATGTCACTTTGTAGTCCGACAGCCCTGGGAGACTCCTTCCGGAGTAATTTATTTGCCGCCTTTTATCGGGCAGAAAATGTCATTGGCTTTTTGGCTTTGATGACAGATTTGCCAAAATTAAAAACTGCAAAATCTACGCTCAATTAAACATTTTTTCGACCTCTGATTGTTGGCAAAGCCAAAGCAGAGCTTTAAGAAAAACTTATTCGAGTAAGAAAATACTTTAATTGAGAATGCGCATTTATTTTCTGCCACATGCCCATGCATATTTATAAGCGCCATCGATCCATTCTCAACGGGATATGCGAGGAACCTCAATCAGGACTCCCTCGATGGGCTGGCTGGCTGGCTGGCTGGCTGGCACTTGAACAAACCCTTCAGCTCGGTTTGTTCCTCTTCGCTTTTGTACCCATCATCCATTGTTATCTGCTGGCCATTTGTTATGCGCAGACCAAGCACCAAACACCGTTCCGTTCGATGGCAACCAGGTCAGTTTATCCTGGCCAAAAGTGGAGCTTGCCGTGGAGTGGAGCAAAGGAGATTTGTTGGACAGCCATTCATCAGAATCTGGGGGGAGGTGGCGCATAATGCAGGCGTATTTATAACATTTGACAGAGCATCCACAAAGCAAAATGAAACGAAAATGCATCGAGGCAATGCTTAATCGTACTCACAACAACAGCCCCGGCCCCGCCCGCACTCTCGAGCACTATTTATAATTATTGCACTCGGGGATTATGGAGATCTCCTTGCACATGTGAGCCACATCCCGGGCTGAATGCGAGTGCAAGCAAAACAATCTCATTACCATTACTTTTAAGATGCTCAAACTTTCAATCAATTTCCCTAGCAATATCCGCCGGGGCACTCGGCAATGCTCGGGGACCTCGAGGAAGTCTCAAGCACTCGCTTCTTGGCCATTGTTGCTGCCTCTTTAATACCTATTGCCAGGTTTGGGAAGGGGTTGCTCATTTGGCAGGTTAACAAATTCGAATATTAATTCTTAATTCTGGCATTAAAATCACAATTAAATTGATTAAATAGAATGAGATTGTAATTGTAAAGAATTTTTACTATAACATGATAAATATTTATGGTTAAGTTAAATACTGTGATTTTCCATGTGGCTAACGAAATTTATTACCATTTTCCTTTCATTTCTGATTTTACAATCGATTAAACTGCTATGGTAGTTACACATCATGACAGACATTAATTAGAAAACTGAATAATAAATAAATTCATGAATATTTTCCACTATTTCCATGGGTAGTTTTGCGGTGATATCATACCCAAAGTTATGCCACTTTCCATGCTCCCTGATGGCGCTGTGCGATGGCTGCGATGCCCAAGTTGACAGCATTGTTTTGTGCCATGACGCAGCTGATGCTCCAGGAATTGCTTGCTTTGAAGTAAACAAGCAATTTCGCAAAAGAAAGCAAAGGAGCACCCTTGCCTGGCCACCCCAGACGACGACGTACTCCTCGTATGCATAACTTGGGGGCCTGCACAGCCTCTTTGCTGTCAGCTGTCAATGCACTCGACGACGCGTCTCTGCTCTCTGCTCCCCATAATTCCGGGGACCTACCATTGCCTCCCATCCATGCCGTTCTTTTCTCTGCATTTTTTATGCTGCATTGCACTTTGACTTGGCGGGGCTTTGTTTGCTCGTTCGATACTCGTAGACTGCCTTATCGCGAGTGGAGTGTTATGTTTTTGTTGCCGTCGTCGACGTTGTCATCAACATAATCATCAGCGGTAAAGTTTTCGGCATCCACCCCCATCGATATTAAAATGTCTTTGAAGCTCAGTGAGTTGTGCCCTTTATTTTTTGTTGTTGTTGTTGTTGATGTTGTTGCTATATTGCATAATTAACAAATGCTTCACATGCAGCTGAACAAAATCCAAAGTACAGTACTGAAAATCTTGCAACTCGCATGACAAATGTTGGCCAATAAATTACTGTTACGCCTGCAATAAATATTCAAATAGCTTGGGCAAAAGCTAAAAAGGAATGCCAGACAATTCCAAAAATGGTCACAGCAACACAACTGCTAACTAATGATCTATTAGCCAAGGACCTTCCTGCTGGTCGTGTGTGTGTGTGTGAAAATGTATCTGTATCTGTTAGTATATCTGTATCTGAGTTTCTCATATCCGGTGGTCGTCTTATTAGTTCACAAAAGCGACCACGTTTGACTTTTATTACACTCTGTGTGCCAGTTTCGCTGCAAAAGTAGTTCTCTGACACAAAAACATTTATCTTGCTTTGCCCGGTTTTCGGGTTTTCCATTCCCCCGGATGTTCTTGGCTAACTTACAAATGAGCTGGGTATTCAATTTGTCTAAACTGATGCAAATATGATTGAACCCATTTGTTTGCCCCAAAAATGGGAAAAGAATCTCATCCGAGCGGATGGCAACCAATTTTTGGAGGGTGGTTTAGGGTTCAGCAAGAGCTTAGCTATTTATGCCTTAAAGAGGGTTTCCAAATCTTATTCAGAGATGAATTACATGATATAGAAAAGTATATAATATCTTTAATACGCGATATACTTAAAGTATTATTAATACCCATAAAAACAAAGCTATAAAATCAAACTTAAAGGAACTAAAATTTTAAAATTTCCTTCTAAAAAACTCTTAAGTGCTCCTTTCAAAATTTAACATTTAGAAACTTCCACTTTTCATTGCTTATGACCCAATTTGCAGTTTGAATCCGGCGAAAATCTTTATGGACTGCGGTGCTACCAACTTTCAAGTGAATCAATTGTGTTTCTCTCATCATGAAAATCTTTCAAACAGCAATTGCTTTGCCTGCAGAAAGAGTTTTGCCACCTCAGTCAAACTTCGAGAAAACCGAAAACTTTAACATCTGCCATCTGGATGCCATTTATCGCCGTAGCATTGGCAATGCCTGGTGGAAAAGTGTCTAATGCGCGTTTTGGCGACACTTTTCATATGGACAGACGGACAATAGTAAGTCGGTTAAGAGAGAGAGAGAGAGAGAGGGAGAGAGCAGGAGAAGGGCTAAGCAGGGTCATACAAAACTGCAAATCCAACTAAAAACTCAGCGGCAAGGCAAAAGTATTTCCTCTCCTCCCGCCCAAAAAAAAAAAGTTTTTAGCCTGGCAGTCGAACGCTGCTGAAACAAAAGTTTTGCAAGCACAAAACATTTTATTGCACTCTTAAGAAGCTGCACTACACACGCACACATTACGTATACGCCATGCAGTACGGCTAAGAGGACGAAGCGTAACTCCCCGAGCCCAAGTAAAATATGAAATATATTTCAACTTTTGCACACACCGAAATATGTGCGGCATTATGGTAGATGGTAGATGGTGGTGTAGCTGCAAATATGCGGCCAAGTCGCTGCCTGGAACAAGCCTTAAGCATCTGGGGCACGCTACAAACGAGAGAAAAGAATGCCGAGCAAAGGCAAAATAAAATAAAAAAATAAAAAAAATTGGGGAAAACTCAACCTTGCTGTTAGGGAAAATATGCCATGACACAAATACGCGCTGCATGACCCAACGAGGTGGAAAAGTTTGCCTTGGCAGGCAAACGGGGCAGGAATGGAATCCAAAATCCAAGTCCGAGCTCAGGTGAAAAACTATGTGCGACTTGGTGGGGGCAAGATGGGATGGGGTGCGATGACGGCGATTGCATTTCAAGGCCATTCCGGCCAAATGGAAAATTATTTGCTCCCTGTCATTATTTTCCCTCAGCTCAGCTTTGGCTTAGTCTGAGTGCATTCCGTGCCGATGTCAGAAAACCTGTTCCAAGGTCCAACGGATTGCTATTATTTATTTATTTACTTAACTCAGC